GGGGGAAACAAGATTTTAATATGAGTGTGACTATATCCATCTCAAGATTCAGGATAAACTACAGGATTAAAACAAAGATGTCCAAAGTGTAGATGTTGTCAGTATTGATGCATATCGCTGTTGGACCTTTATCAGCAGAAAATGCTGGATGGCATATCTGAGGGAGAAAGGAATGAATCTGATGCAGTCGTGTAACAAATCTATCCTGAAGCAGCCTCACTCCCACTGTGTGATGTGATGTTAGCTGTGTATTTCTTCCTGTGGGTAGTAGAGTGTTTTAATTGTTTCAGCATGATAGCCTGCTTTTAGGCCTCATCTTAAGTGAAGTGTTTCAATTAAAAATGTAATTTTAAAGAAGAAATATTGTGTCAGTATTGGCTGTGATACTCAGGGTTTCAGTGTCTGTATCAGAAAAGAAAGTGGTGTTGGGTCGTCTCTAGCTAAAAAGGGTTCTTCGGAACACTGCCATAGTAGAACCGCTTTGGGTCCCTCAGGGAAGCCCAGACGGTTGTTTTTTGCTCCGACCTAACTCGCAACACATTTTGATAGAACAAAAACGTGAACCGTCTAGGGGTTCGTGAGGATCAGTTTGAGAACCTTGTAAAGGTTCTTTACCAATCTGAATTTTTTTAGCTGACATATAGCAGCCCACTGGAAGTCTTTACATGTTTTCTTTTGTCTCACTCAGGTAAAGAAAAGAGCAAAAGTGTCAATATTAGGAGTGTAATGATATATGGGGATCAAAACGATTTTCAGTTCTGAGGTAGATTTAAATTTTGATACTGTTTTGTATGTTTATTTATTATTTTTTTGTTGAAATCTAATAAATTGTGTTTAGACCCAGTACACAGATATTGTGAGAGATCTTTTCTGCAGATCTTTAAGTGCCTCTTTCTCTGTCTCTCTGTTCCATTCTCTCTGTCTATCTCTCTTGTGCCGCCGCTCCTCTGTCAGGGGACTTAGGAAGGGTGTCTCTGTTTTCTTGTTTGAGTCCTAAATGAGAGCATGTCAACTGCTGTGTCCTTTTGGGTTACTTTTTTTAATAAGAAAGTAAACTGCAATAGCTTGGGCCAAGGAAACAATACTCAACTCAAAGCTCTCCACAGTCCAGTATATATTGAATAATTGAGTTCTGTGGACTCTTAACTTTCAAACTAACCAATATTATTACTAAAACAAGCAGCTGTGCACTCAGAAAATAGACCACATGCCTGCTAATAGTACTGATTGCAGCAAGCAGTTATATAAATAGAAATTTCTCTGATGGAAGTCCACCTGTCCTCTCACATGGCCTTGCCGACAATACACAAGGCACATCTGTTTACCGGGCCATTTTAATAAACATTTAGGTTTACATGGAAAGGGTTTTTTTTTTTTTTGTTATTTATCATAGTTTGTTCAACATGTTTGTTTCATTTGCAGTCAAACAACTGGAACAGCTCCATTTTAACCCTGAAAGTTGTGGGTTCTTTAAACTGCTTTGGTTAATAATAAGCAATTTATTAACTTATGAATATTTCTCAGGACCTAAGATTTCTTATTAGTTGCCTATAGTTGTCCAGATTATTCATTAGCTTAGCATAGAATCTGGGTAAAGGCCACCGCTCACCAAACACACAGCCTAGCGTCATGTAGAAGAGCACTGCTATAGAATGCCAGCAGGGAGAGCCTGTAAAATTATAAACTTATAAATTGAATGAAATAAAGCTTTCAGCATCACTCATCATGCTTGGCATCGGTTTACTACCTCTTCTCAAATTGTGTTTTCGAGCAGAAAGATAAAAGGTGAAAAAGGCTGGGATAGCAGCAACGACAGAGGTAACTGTTAGCATTTGTCTATTTATCTAAAAGACTGGCTGCCTTTCTCTGTAAATTTCAAGCCACATGTATTGTACTGTGGCTTTTTGTGGTCTGAGTATGGCTTTCATTTAATGTTGTATTGGCAGAATGCTGAGTGGCGCACTGTGACACGCTGAGAAATTGAGCAGTTTTCGGGTTGCAGAGCGCGTAAACATGGAGTGTCAGCGCTAGTGTGTGTATCTTCGTTAAAAACAATAGTTTCAAATTTTTGGACACTGCAACACGGAGAGTCCGATGTGCAGTGGACTTAACCTAGCTAACTGATTTGCTAACTTACTTTTAAGAGATACTAGGAGATGATCTGTTGTCAGTACATGTTGGTAGTCCAAATAAAACATGAGAAAGGTTTCATTCAAGTTAAAGGAAATTGTTACCTGAAAATTTCACCTTCGGAGGTGGTGACTGTAGACACTTTTAAGAGGCACGAAAATGCCAGCGACTTTGTCTTTCTGTCCACTTGTGTTCAGATCACTCAAGACTGATGTTAATAGCAGTTATGAAAAGCCCTAAATGATAGATTTTGGAACATTGACGTATAAAAATGCAGCAAAACCACACAAACCTCAAAAGAGGACCTCGAGGACAAAAAGAAATGCAGGTTATGGGTCCTTTAACAACAGCACTTGTCTAATGATGATGCAATTAAACTTTCATTACTTGCTCCAGTGCAAATTTAAATTGAGTTTTAGGCGAACTATCACTTTAATACATCGCTGCTTTCAGGTAAACAGGGTCGGATGGGCCTCTGGTCTCTGGTGAGCAGTGCTGTGGGAGGTGAGCGTATCAGGTGACGGGTTTTCTGCACTGTATTGCTGTAATGGAGCTAGGCATCACCTGCACAACAGGTGGCTCATAGAGAGGATACAGCTGCACTTCCTCTGTCTCTCTCTCTCTCTCTCTCTCTCTCTCTTTCTCTCTTTCTCTCTTTCTCTCCCTCTCTCTCCCTCTCCCTCTCTCCCTCGCTCTCTGGGGGGCTTGGAGAAGGGAAGGTCTCTATTTTGTGTTTTGAACTCTAAACGAGACAAGGTTGACTGCTGTGCTTTGTTAGATATATACTAAACCAGAATGCTTCAAGATATTTTGTTCATAAATATAAGCAGGAAAAATAAACAAAAAATAGATCAATTTAACATAAGTTGTTTTACACTGCTGTTGATTTACAAAATAAAAAAAAAGAGTTAATAGTTTCATAAGGGCAAGTAAAATCCAACATTTCATATGTTATGGTAGCTAGCTGGTTAGCTTGGGGCTAAAGGTATTAGTTCGGGGCAGGTGCATTCAATTGTGGCGAACGTAAGCCTTTGAAAAGTGTTAGCTCAGGGCTAACATATTAGCTTGTGGCTGGTGTATTAGCTTAGAGCTAACATATTAGTTTGTAGCTATAGCATTAGCTTGAGGCTACCGTAGTATATCGTGGCTTGTGTGTTTGCTCAGGGCTAAGAGACTATCGTAGTAATAACACGTTAGCTTGGTGCTATCATATTAGCTTGTGGCTAGTCAGTTAGATCAATGTACTATAAAGCACAGCTTTTATGTATTAAATTGATGCACCACTGTAGCGTAACAACTAATTAATCTCTCTCTCTCTCTCTCTCTCTCTCTCTCTCTCTCTCTCTCTTCCTCTCTCTCTCTTCCTGTCTATCTCTCTTCCTTTCTCCAATCCTCCGTCCCTCTCTGCATGTGTATGTGATGTCATGGTGTGAGCCAGGCATGAAATCGATCATGTAACTTTGCCTTAATGGGGTCTGAGTGGTCCTGGCTGTTCTTTTGTCTGCTTGTGTTAAAATGACTGCTACCTCCCCAACCTCCTGAGTTTTTTCCTTACTTCTGTACACACACTACAAAAGTCTAAAATAATCTCATCATTTTAAGTGTACTTACCATTTAGCTAGTGTTTTTTTCAGTCATGCCCGATGTATGGTATTTACGCTAACATCACAGCATGTGACTTTAATCCAACACTACCTCAAAGACATTTTTTTTTTGGCAATAAGCAGATCATGTTTAGCATTTTTATGTAATTTTATTAGTGTTGCTCCCTGTGTTTGCTAGGAGTCATACTTCTTTTGTTATATTGAAAACCTTCATGAGCCGTGGTTTGCTGAGCCAAACCTGCAGCAGTGCAAGGGTCATTACCCTCGTTACCCTGTGTGTTTGAGTGAGGGGCAGTATCTATTTTATGTATTTTATTCCTGGATTCTCCATGTTTTCCAAGACCTAAACGATTTTTATTTTGGTTTGTTTCATTAGTGTAAATCATCAACTGCACAGTCACCGCAGAGATAGTCATTTGTAACAGCTCGTACCTTTAAACGAACAAAGACTGGCAGAGCATTTTTGTCTGACAAACGAAACGAGAGACTGGCTTAGTAAATGTGGGCTGAGCATAAGTGATAAAGAGAATTTAAAACATTCAACATGTAACAATGCATCATGACTGTTTTTGGTATATGAAACCACACAAATCTTATAAGTGAAAACCAGGGAAGAAAATAAATGTAGGTTATGGACCCTTAAATAAGTAATCTGTAAAGAAATGCAAGACACAAACGTCATTTTGTGAATGCATAATGACTGTCTGGTTGTAGTTAGTGTGTAATACAGAGAAAGGATCATGGAAAAAGCCACACACCACAGAAGTCACAATGAAACTTCAGTTCACCTTCAGGACATGTGGGACATCATCAGTTTTTGTGGTAGAATGAAAAAAGCTGCTCTAGTAAACCACACGAGGCCTGCAACAAAATCAACATAGAGTTTTGTCCACATAATTGTTCTATAATGTCCTGTAATGTTCATATGATCCACACAGTCATTCAGACAGATTGTAATACACTGCAGGATGTGTTAGGGGGGGCGATATGGCTTCTCTTTCATTTAGCGCTCTGTAGTGTTTGTATGGTCCACACAGGCAATCTTATAGCTGTCATTGTAGAAATCATCATTACAGCCTACAGAATACAGCACGTGTGCTTTTATTTGTTGTATTTTTATGTGTATGTATTTTGAGTTTTTCAGTCGTGTGTATGTTTTGAGTTAACTGGAACGTGTGTGTATTGTGGTGACTCTGTGAATGATGTGTAAAGTCATGTCAGTTGGGGTTTGGAGTTACAGAGGAATTTTGCTCTATTTCTGTGCAGAAAATCAAACAGTAGCAGGAGAGGGAGGAGGGGAGAGAGAGCTACAGAAGATGACTGGGTTTCCCTGCTGCTGTCACAGAAAGCAGGATTTCCCCCCTCCGTAGTACTGATTCTTTATTTTTATGGACAGGTAGGGCTGTTGTATTGGCTTTCCTTTTGAGCAGACTAAAAGACAGATGGATTGTATTAGTCTGTTGCTCTCTGAAATCAGTGAGAGAGAGAAAGGTCTTTGTGTGTGTGTTTATTGTTGCTTTCGCAACTAAATCTCCATTTGTTATTTTTTGTTTTATGCATCACAAATCTCATTACATTAACTTGCTTTAAAAGTTCAGTCTTTCTCCTTCTTCTGTAAAGTTATTATTTTTGAGATGTGTTTCTGACAGTGACAGTATGTGTATATTTGTGTGTACGTGTGAGTACATGTGTTTGTGGACCGAGAGAAAGGGAGAGAGAGAGGGACTGAGTGAGAAACATCGAAAACAAGCTACAGAAGGCGAGTGGGGTTTCCCTGCCTGCTGTAACAGAGAAACAAATCACATGTGTCGAGATGGATGGGTGCATCGGTGTGCGTCATTGTGGGGAAAAGATAGTAATTGTAAAACTACACAGTGTGCCTGTGTGATAAAATGTTGAATCAATAAGTGCACTTATAAACAAGGTACATGTGTATGTAATGTATGTATCAGTAAACAAAAACATAATGTATACATACAGTGTTTTGAGCAAGATGTGGATGAATCATGTGGGAGACCCAATGCTCTGTGAATTGAGAGAGAGAGAGAGAGAGAGAGATGACATGATTTCCCATTGGGCTCTCTCACTGTTCTTATCTACGCTCTACCTTTCTCTCCACCCTCACCCTTTCATTTTACTTCTTTCCTCTCGTCTTCTCCAAGCCCCATGCACTAATCCTTTTTATGTTTCTTTCCTTGTTCAGAATTAAAGCGTCATTCTTCGTCGTCGTTGATGGCCATACATGCCTACTTTTCTTTCTTTTTTTTTTTTGTGTGTGTTTAAATAGCCGTTTTCTTCTCCCGTTCCATTTAATTTGGCTCTGGATTCCGTCCACCCTTCGTTCTCTCCTCTCCTTCACCCCTCCCTTCCCCTCTGTGTGTGTGTGTGTGTGTGTGTGTGTGTGTGTGTGTGTGTGTGTGTGTGTGTACGGTTTATTTAGGAAGTGCAGTAGGAAGGGAGAGAAATCCGGCTTGGATGGACGGAGGGAGGAGGAGGGAGTTTTGTGTGTGTCTCCCTTCCCCCCTTCCTCCCCTTCCTCCCCTCTGCTCTCTCTCTGCCCTCCTCCCTTCTTTTCTTTGGGCTGCATTCTTACAGAATGATAGACGGTGAAGCTAAGACTAGTGTGTGTGTGTGTGTGTGTGTGTGTGTGTGTGTCTGTCTGTCTAAAATGTGTGGGTGGGGCTAATTCTGTTATTTAGGCAGAAATGCTTCACTGTACTGTTTTGTTTTTGTTTTTTTTTCCTTGCTCAGGTCCCCCTCCACCCTTCGTAATGTCTGGTGAAAGAAGAGCAAGTGTGTGTTTCTATGTGACGGTGTGTCTGTTTAGTCTGTATAGGGGTGTGTGTGTGTGTGTGTGTGTGTGTGTGAACTGAGTAGCCTTGTATCTTGAAAGAGGTAAGAGTGTCTAACCATTAAAAGTATGTATGTAAGAGAGATTTTGTGTGTGTGTGTGTGTGTGTGTGTGTGTGTGTGTGTGTGTTTGGGTGGGGGGGTGGTTGGGGGGCGGGTTAGTGCGCATGCGTGCATTCTTAAGCAGTGACGGCAGGCTAACAGTACTGGAGCAGAAAAAAGAATCGTGTTTATGTGTGTGGAAGCTGGAAAAACCGACGAGTCGTTTAATTTCAGAGGAAAACACTTTAATTACACCCAAACACAGAAACCTCCCTGTACTTTACCTTTCTCATTCTCTTTCTTTCTTTTTTCTTTCTTACATTCTTTCTTTCTCTCCTTTCTTTCTTTTTTCTCTCTGTCTCTGTTCCCTTTCTGTCTCTCTCTTTCCCTGTTCTGTTTGTCTCTCTCTCTCTCTCTCTCTCTCTCTCTCTCTCTCTCTCTCTCTCTCTCTCTCTCTCTCTGTCTCTGTCTCTGTCTCTCTCTGGTGTCTGTCTCTTTCTCTCTGATCTCTCTCTGGTCTCTCTCTTTCTTTTTCTCTCTCTCTCCGTCACCTCTCACAGACATTCTTTCTCACTGTCTCTGTCTCTCTCTCCCTCACACATACACACACATATGGACCCTCAGACGACAGTTAATGACCCCTGGAGCTGGGAGCTGTCATGTCTCTGTTACAGAATTTTCATATCAGTCAAGCCAATATAATATGTATGTCATCAATTTAAAAAAAAAATACCATTATAATCTACCATTCCTAATTCATGTATCATGCGTAGCTGTTTCTGTATGAGTCGATGTGTTAATTAAGTGTGTGTGTGTGTGTGTGTGTGTGTGTGTGTGTGTGTGTGTGTGCGTGCATCTGTGTCTGCGAGTGTGTGAGAGAGAGAGAGAAATGTAGAAATTGGCACTAAACTCACCTGGAGTAACATTTCTAAATGAGAAATATCATTTAGAAATATTTATAAGGTTACAAATGCAGTAAAATTAATGGAATGCAGATATAGTAGCCCAGCGGTACCTAACTACTGCTTTTCTGGAGTAATAAAAACATCAAATATCAGTCTAAAATATTGATCAAATCATCTGTCCAATTGTAGATGCAGTTTATATGCAGATATCCATCGTTACTGATATAATGCCAATATCCTTGTGCATCGCTAATTTCATTTTTTGTTTCCCTCTGTTTTCTGTCTGTGCTGTATGACCCAGTCATAATAGAGGTGTGATCTAGGGCCTGTTCTATCCTGGCATCTGCCTCTTCCTCTAATCCCATCCCCTTATCTCTCACTCTTTAAATCACACACACACACACACACAGTCTGAATGCCCACATTCATGCTGTAATGCCTCCGTCGCCACCCTGTTTGTTGTTCTGGGGGGGTGGGGGGGGTGTGTGTCAGTATGACATATTTAGCCTCCCCTTGGCTGAGATTAAAACATTACTTGACAGCGAAGCTCCTGATTGGCTGGCTGGCTGTTCTTAGCTGTCTGTCATCCTCTTTAATCCCGCCTCATTTTAGCAGCATAGCTTTTCCACTCCCTCCATCTCTCCCTCTGTCTAACACCAGGCACCGGTTAATTATTTATCTCTTCGTCTTTCCGTCCGTTTCTCTCTTTCAGCCGCACTATTACACGCACAGTCATGCTGTTCCTGTGTTACATCATGCGTGCGTGCTTGCGTCCTCTTGTGTGTTTGTATGTGGTTAGCTCTATAGCACCCAGATGTCCACAGGACGTTGGAAAACGTTAATCAGAATCAAATTTTATTGGCCAAGGGCGTTTGCACTTACTATAAATTTGACTTTGTCTTCAAATTGAGATCCACTTAAAAATGAGTAGCAGCCAATTCTGGTCCAATATTTATATTTTCACAAACAATGCTATCACATACTTGATATACCTGTAACGCTGTCGAGGTCAGATAAGCTAGGGTGTCAATTAATACTACATTAAAATCAATACATTTTTGGACTGATATGGCCTCCTGTTTTTTTTATAGGTGTCTTTATTAAGGTGACTTGTGTTATAACACATTTTTCTTACACTAGAGGTGAGGTTGTAGTACATTGTACATGTCTTTGTTTTACCACGATGTTCTAATTCACCAGTTCATGGATGAATTATAATGGGTTCGATAGTGACAGAACTGTTGCTTATTACTGATGTGTTATCGCATATTTTGAATATTGGCCAATATTTCGGTCTGGCCCCAGTGATTTAATAATGGTTAATGATCCAGTTTGATCAAACTCCCTTATGACTTGAAAATTCTGCAGTGAAATCACATTTTGATATACACATGCTGGCATACACTCAACGTTTGTTTTTGAGGCTACTTATGTGAAATGACCAATTTAAAGAGTGGTGACTACGATACATGTTGCTCCACATTTGCACAGCATGTTACTGCAGGTACTAGACAGTGTCCATTTATGGGGTCTCTGCGACTGTGTCGTAAATAGAGCTCAGAAAAGAAGCAAAGGATGGGGCTTAATTTAGCCCATACATGATCCATTGAACTATGCCTGGATCAGATCAGGCCATCCCTGGTTATAGAGTACACAGTTGTTCCACACAAAACAGTCATGTACACATGCAAACTTCCTTTCTTGATGCTCACACATTTGTTAATTAAAAAAAAATTACATTAAATTTGTCGTAAAGTACAGCGGCCGAGTAAGAGGCAGCAATACTGAGTAAAAGAAAATGAGAGGAAGGTGCAAAAAATCCCAATATGTGGAGTACCATGAATAAAGCTAATGTGCATTATTCTGTTATTAGTCTGCATTTGTGTAGATGTTGTTTTAATGTTCTAATGTGACTGTGGTCAGTTGGAGTTAATATTTTGATGTTATAGGGAAGTTTGGCTGCATTTTAGAGGCAAAAACTGCATCTTTTATAAGAGAAAAATAGTGAGAGAAGCCAAAGATTAGCTTTTGGGTTAGGGAGCACAGCAGTAGTTAGCATTGAGATGGGCAGGGAAACACTCCACAAAGACAGGAATACAAAGACTGTGTGTGTTGGGGAGTGGTGGGGGGGTCTCCATCTCTCAGCCTTGGTGAGATCATTCACAGTGATTGTGTTGAAAGGATGGATAAAGGGAAGAAAGGCTGCCTCCATGTTGTTTTTCTTTTCTCTTCATTCATGGCGGCTATGAGGAGCGTGCAGCTCCTCCTCCTAGTGGTCGTGAAGTGTAACTACACCCTAGAGCTTTTGCTGTAGTGGCTGCATTCATTTTGCGCAGTTTGTTTAGCTGTCATTACTTCCTATCAGTTGAATGAGCAGGTGTCTACAAATGTTCAGACAGTCATTTTCCTTTGAAGTTTGAAATTTGTCCCCTCTTTGCTGCAGTAACAGCCTCTACTGTTCTTGGAACGCTTTACACTAGATGTTGGAACATTGCTGTGAAGACTTGATTGCATTCAGTCACAAGAACATTAGTGAGGTCAGATACTGATGTTGGATGCTTAGTTCTGGATACCACTCCAACTCATCTCAAGTGTACTGGATAGATCTCCATTACTTCAAAGAAGATAGGAGGCTACTACTTTTTGGTGTTAGGCATAGTGACCTTAAGCTGTAAGTGCACAACTGAATACTTGGGTCAGAAGTGGGCGAGAAGTGGTCAGAAGTGGGTGAGAAGTGGTCAGAAATGGGTGCGCCTTAAAGTAACTGAATACACTCATTAGGAGAGCTGTCTGTATATGTAAAATGTGCATGGTGATAGTTACTGTGACTTCTAAGGATTAATAAACCAGATAAAGACTTCTCAAAGACAGTGGGAAAAAATAAAATCTTGCTGCTCTCTAGTCTGCTTTTGGTGTGTAGATTATTTTTAATTTATATAATAAACTTTATTTATAGAACACTTTTTATACAAGTAGCAGCTCAAAGTGCTTTGCAGACAAGTGATAAAGTTTAGTGATTGTTTTATTACTGTAACTGTTTTGTAACAGTAAGTTTATAATAATTACACTAAAAACATCTATCTATCTATCTGTGTGTGTGTACATATATATATATACACACTTTGGTAAAAAAAAAAAAAAAACAAAAAACAAGAATATACTCTTGAATGTTTCTTGTGGCTTTTGGGTAGCAGTAAGCTGTCAGGTATAAAATGTGCAGGCTGCAGAACTTTCTCTCTTCTGAAACATCTTTCCTAAAAAAAAATGGATAAAACAGTTCCTTGGGCTTACACCAGGAATATTCTGGGACCAAATAAGCTGTTAATCAGCATTTTCATCTCTGTTCATCTGATGCTGTTTTATTTTGTTTCCTGTATTTCTTTGTAAATATTTTAGGCAGATTTTGCTTTGAAAAAGGTTTTGGGTCATCACTGATAAAAAGAGAAAACTAGTGCTTCGTTATCTGGCAGCTGATAAACAGAACTTTCTTTCTTTGCCCCTTAAAACGCCTCTGATTTTTCTCTGCTGAATCACAAAGCTTTTTGGCAAATGGTTCTTTTCCTGTTTACAGAAGCGCTTGAAATTTCTCTGGTAGTTTCGCATGTACCCTGACTTCATGAAGTGTCACGTCACACTGTTTAAAATATTGCACAGGGGGTTTTTGTAGAAACATGCAAACGCTAACTTCTACCTTCACTGAATTTTCAAATGCTAATACCAAACTCATTAACTTTACTAACTTCTCTAGAGCTAGTTCTCATTTTGCTAAATTCTGTAACACTAACCTCTCTAACTTGTGTAGCCTTTATAATAATCATGCAAACTTCTCCACATTGGGTACCTTCTCTAATGCTGACATCTTTAAAGTTAACTTAATAAACTTTGTTTACTTTATAATGCTAATGCTAGCTTGGGTAACTTCTCTGATTTTAATGCTAACTTATCTAACTTGGGTAATTTCTCTAATGCTGATGTTTCTACACACTTTTTAAAAATAAAGTTCCTGAATTATTCTTGGCCTTGACATATGGTTCAATGAAAAATATGTGATTGTGTATAATTTCTGTTGGTCCAGATATTATAAAAGTGGAAATTGTGTTTGATAAAAATGATATTAAAATATATTAAATAAAGTTTCCTTATGTCAGTCAATGCTACTTGTAAACAGTAATTTTTGACTGTTTTTATTAAACTCTGCTCATTACACTAATGTGATATCTCTCTCTTCTCTTTACCTTTAGGCCTTGTGGATGCACTTAGATGTGTGCAATGAGTGCTGTGGCTGGCATGCGTCAGTGTTTTGGATTGTGCTCTGGACTCAGTAGGACTCGAGACTCGCAGCAGCAGCACAGAGAGCACCGAGCGTCATGAGCTTAGCCATCCCTGCGGGGGTGGACACGGCCAACACAGCGTACCTCGACATGGCTGCCGGATCAGAGTGGGTGTCTGTCTCTCTCTCTCTGTCTCTGTGTATCTCAGTTCAGTTTAACATGGCTTTATTGGCACAAAGCACAACTAGGAGGGGGAGTTTGTGAATGAACTTGAAGTTGATTTGGCAAAGTCAGCTAATTATGTGTGTATGCATATGAGTGTGCGGTGTCTGCCTCGTGTGTGCTGTTTGAGGTGTTGGAGGTGTGTGGTACCTGGCTAGTGAGTGCTGCTGGTTGATAACGTGTAGGAATGGATGATACAGCGAAAATATGACATGAGAGTTTCTCAATGCATAATGCGCAAAATATTCAGTTTTTCAGAGGTATGATAACTTGGAACAGCCAAAAGAAGAAGCAATAGTGTCTCATTCTATAATAACCAAAACTACAGTGTTTTTATTCAGTGTTGTACACATTGCACAACATTAAATCCAGTAAAAACAGGACTAATTATGCTTAGTAATGAAACATTTGGTTAGTGTTCCTTGAAGTACTGAAGATATTCACAATATACCGGCAAAGTGGTGTGTGGATGTGGTTGAAAGCGTGTGGGGTGGGGTGGATATTGGTTAATGAGGTTTGTGTGTGTGTGATTTTGACATTATTTATATACATATAGATAAATAGATCACAGTGACACTCGTGGTGGTGGCGTGTTAGCATATCGGACACAGCAGTGCTGCTGGAGTTTTTAAACACTGTGTCCACTCACTGTCCGCTCTATTAGATACTCCTACCTTGTTGGTCCACCTGGTAGATGTAAGGTCAAAGACAGTAGCTCATTTGTTGGTTTGTTGCTGCCCAGTTTGTTAGTCATCTTCTACTCCATCAGTGGATTAAATGAAAGCGATAGTTTGGCAAAAAAAATTAAATTTGATACAATAAAATTTGAATCATTCCATCGTTATCACCAAGACTGTTAAGAAAAAAAAATGTCTGACTGAAAATTGACTAAATGAAGTGAAAAAATCATTAGAATTCCCCTCTGAAAGTGTCGCTGCAGTGCTGGGAATAATCCACTACTCAAATAATACATGCTCTGTGGTGGTCCAATGTGAGTCCTGACCGTTTAACAACAGGGTGAAAAGAGGCTGACAGGGAAACAAATGGACTAGGTGTACTTGATGAAGTGGCCAGTTATTGTATATTAGGAGAGGTATAAAAGTTAATACCGGTTTGACATTCTTATATGATATGACGTTTGTCTTACCGGGAATACCGAAAAACACTGTACCAAATAGCACCGCCCCAAAGACAAACTAAACATGAGCATGAACAGCTTAAATAACTCTTATTAACTGCCTCTGGCATTCATTCCTACAGTGTAGTGTTTACACGGCCACTCGTGGCACCAGGCGCGCACAAAACGAGTGTATCACTGAGTGTGTGCCACATGCATGAAGCTTCACAAAGACGTTCTGTTTTGCCCCATAGATTTTACTTTACATTTTACTTTCCGAAGGGTTTCCCTTTTTACTCTATTGTTGCACTGTGTTGGACAAAACAGATAAGCATGATAAAGAAGAATAAATCAGATCGTAAAACTCATTCAGCAAGCACGGCTTAAACATAATGTGATAGCAAGCCTGGAATAATGAGCTACCTTTGTTAGATACAGCAGGCAAAAAACTGGGATATTTTGTTAGCAAAACTACAGTGAAATATTACTTTAGATACCAACTACAAGGTCAAAATGGAGTTGAGGATGAGTGAAGAGCTAAAAGCAGGAGAGGCTGCAGAAGAGAATGACAAACTGGTTCTATACAGGGTAACTGAAGAAACGGTTAGAGTCCTGGTAGTATTTACACAACAAAGAATACTTTTCAGTTACAAACTCTCACAGTGTGTTTTTGCTACAGTAATAATAGTAATAATCAAAAAATAATAATAATGGCAAAAGGAGCAATAATAGCACTAGTAATAATAATAATAACCATTATTTTGCTATTTTGTTGTTTTCATATAATGGATGGTTATTGGTTGGGGTCAGCAGGTTAATAGTGGTGAATTTCTTACTATCTTTTTCTTTCTTTCTCTCTCTTTCCCATCTTTTCTTTGCTTTTTTTTTTAATTCTCTCTCTCGCTCTCTCTCTCTCTCTCTCTCTCTCTCCTCCTTCGCTCACACCTGTTGTCTTACTGTTGTGTACCCACATTTTGTCTTTGGTGGTTTTTCCTGTTCTCCACCCACCATGTCAACTGCTTTCACACCTCTTTTTTTTCCTCTTCTTTCTCTCTTTTCTTTCATTCTCTCTCTCTTCTTAAGGGGCCCATTTAATGGAAAACCAAATTTTCCTCGCTTGTGTGCAATTGTTAAACTTTTCAAAACATAATTTTCACTCGCCAGTCTATACATACAGAAACTGTACTGCAAAACAGCCCGTTTTGAATCCATTGTTCATGTGATGTCATGAGAACCAGCTCATTTACATATATCCACCTATTCAGACTACAGCTCATTCATATTAAACTTCTACAGAGTGTTTCAGTTCTGAATGCTTTTTGAATGAGGACAGCCAATCAGAACAGAGCTCATTTATTTTAGCAGTTTTAAAGGTACAGTAACCAAAACAGCCTGTTTAATTCCAAGGGATAAAGAGAAGGTGGAAAATTGTGGTGTAGTAAAACCACAAATTGTCATGGTGTGTAGTAAAACCACACAAACCCTTTTGCTGTTGTCGTTGTTGTTGTTGTTGTCGTTGTTGTTGTTGTTGTCGTTGTTGTCGTTTTGTTTTTTTTGTGATAAATGCCTTCAGTTTAGTGTAATAATTTATGTATTCAGTTGTATGTGTGTCTGATCATAGAGAGATTATCATCAGTTTGACCTTCCTTCCTCTGCAAGTGTTGCTTTTTTCCCACTGTATTACTCACAGGGGATTGGAAACCTTATGTGTGTTAATACATAAAAACACTGATACACACATTATGTGTCGTGTGTGTTAGAACAGATTGTCAGTGAACATTCTCTCTCCATCATATATTGTCTCTCTCCCCTCCCCATTCACTCTTTCCTTTATTGTTTTCTGTTCTCTCTCTCTCTCTCTCTCTCTCTCTCTCTCTCTCTCTCTCTGTCTCTCTCTCTCTGTCTCTCTTTTTCTCTCACTGAAAGGTTTGTTTAGTGGTGGTCTTGTTTTATAATCTTGCGTAGTCTCCATAATGTTGCCCACCTTCCGTTGCCACGACAGCTTGCGTTGCCATGGCACCTCTTCTGCACTGCGCAGCGCCCCATCTCCGTGGTGCTGGTCTAAGTGACGGCCGCCCCTTTGGGCCGTTGTCGGCTGCTTTAATAGACCTGATATTTTGGGGGCCTAACAAGGCTTTTGGCCATCCCACCACATGCCTGTGCAGATTATTCTAGAGTACTCTATCAAGGTTCAGATGCAACACACACACACACACAGTATCTACATAAAAAGAAAAAAACAAATAAATTAAATAAATAACACAAATATATTTAATATATTTTGTACTCTCTGTGTGTATGAGAGAGAGTCTGTCATGATATTGGCTTATAAATAAAATTAAATTAAAGCAATAATTTGGCATTCCATGTTTTTAAAAAAAACAGTTTGACTTGAAAAGTTTCTCTCAAACAGAGCATTTCACTTCAGGCCACTCTAAATGACTTTGTTTACATTACAATGACTGAATTATGCAGAAGTTCAGAAAAATTATTCAAATTCCCCTTTGTCAGTGTCACTGTAGTGCTCAGAATGATCCACCACCTAAATAATAGTAAAATTGAAGAATTGTGTGAAAGGCGGCTGACAGGAGCAGATGGACTACAGTCTGTAGTTGTAGAACTACACAGTGCTCCTATATGGTAAGTGGAGCTGATAAAATGGACAGTGAGTGTAGATATAAGATAGGTGGACCTAATAAAATAGTCACTGAATGTAGAGTGTATTATTGTGTGTTATAACTGATACTCATGTAACTTTTATCATTTCCTTTTTGCTTCATCATCTGATTTGTGTTGCACTTTTTTACCGTCAGAGTAGTCTGGCGTGTGTTTTCCTCTGTGGTAGAGGACGGTTGTCAGGGTCACCGTGCTGCTGCTGCTGCAAGGGTTGCCATGGTTACGGGGTATCCTGCATCTTAATGTGGACTTTCACACTGCATCAGAGCTCGGATCCCTTTTATATCTCACCTGTTCTCATGTGTAGGGAATTGTCTCTGTTCCATATTAAGCCACAGGTTTAGCTGTTGGCTATGGTTAGCATATCTGTCAGATTTTATTGGAGCTTCATTTACATTCTCTCTCTCTCTCTCTCTCTCTCTCTCTCTCTCTCTCTCTCTCTCTCTCTCTCTCTCTCTCTCTCTCATATATGTCAGATACCAGTCTCTCTGTTTGCTGTTGCTCTTAAAGTGATATTTAGATTCTTTTGCATTCCTTTGCTGCATGTCACACTCTTTCTCTCTTTCTCTCTCTTCTCATGCGCTTTCTTAGACTGTTTTTTTTTTTCTCAGTGATTCTTTCTCATCTCTGTTATTCAAACGGTTTCCCTTGCCTTCTCTCGTTTTTATGTGTCAGTAACGTAGGAAATCCCCTAGTCTCTTGCTCTCTCCTCTCTGTTTTCTCATGCTCTTCTCACGGTCTCCCTCTTTCTCTTTCTTTGTCTTTTCTCTCTCCCCCTCATTTTCTGTTCTTGTTTTTTTTTCTCATTCCCTTCTCTTGCTCCCTCTCTTTTTCTTTCTTTTTCTTTCTTTCTTTCTCTCTCTCTCTCTCTCTCTCTCTCTCTCTCTCTCTTTCTCTCTCTCTCTCTCGAGCGCGCTCTCTCTCTCGAGCTGTCTCTCTCGAGCTGTCTCTCTCTCGAGCGCTCTCTCTCTTGCTCTCGCTCTCTCACTCTCTCTCTCACTGTCTCTCTCTCTCGCTGTCTCTCTCTCTCTCTCTTTCTCTCTCTCTCTCTCTCTCTCTCTCTCTCTTTCTCTCTCTCTCTCTCTCTCTCTTTCTCTCTCTCTCTCTCTCTCTGTCTCTCTCTCTCTCTCATTGATTACCATTTGTCCCCACACTGTAAGACACTCTTGATGATATCTGTTAATCATTCATCAACAGCTGGCCTGCTTTTAACTGCTCTTTTCCTGTCCTGCACTTTTATTCTTGTTTAACTTGTACACACACACACACACACACACACACACACACACACACACACACACACACACACACCCTCTCCTGGGTCCGCCCCCCTCTAGGTGGTCATGCACTTTCACTTTGACACTTGAGCTGCTCTGCAGACGCGGCAAACAGTTTGAGTAGGAAGTGCGAGTACACGAGAGAGAGAGAGAGAGCACGAGGAGGAGAAGGACAGACAGGTAGAATACTTCTTCAGAAAAAGCTGTAGGAAAAACAGGCAAAAGAAAACAGAGGTAAACATGTGAATACATGTGGCTGGTTCGGTAAAGCTATACTCTGCGGCTGCTTTTGTTTTGAATCATGTACTTCTGTCAGATCAGCTGTTAGCATAGGTAAGTGTACTGTTCAAGTCTGTCATAGTGTTTGCTTATAAATGTGGGTAAATGAAAGCAATTAAATCAAATCAGTCAAGACATGTTTAGCGTCTGTAGTTTGCTTCGTGATGTTTAGCACTTGAAAACTAATACCCCGGCAATTAACATTGTACAAACTGCATACCTAAATCGTCACACACTCAACTGTGAGTTCAGTAATTTCAAATAGACTTATTTTTGTGATTTCTGACACTGTTATCTATGATGAAGGTACATAGCTGAAAACAGTCCATTTTAATAGATAATACTATTTAACACAGTGTCAGAAACCACCAAACTAAAGAAGCAGACTTCAGACACCAAACATGTTTTAACTGATCAGCTGCATTTTGGGTAAAAAAAAAATTGTGAATCTGATGTGAATGAACTTTCACTTAAAGGTACAATGGTTTAAGTTCACACAGACCAGATTTTTGCAAATTTTATTTGACACTGTCAGATGTATCAGCGCATCACTAACACTGTGAGAGTAGGGATGGGGCAGTGTAAATTTTACTTCATTTCATTTTAAAATATTTTTGGTTTATAGTATGTATTTTACCCCACGACCCAGAAGGATAAGCTGATTAGAAAGTGTGTGCATGTGTGTGTGTGTATGTGCGCATTTCACCACAGACTTTATTAGTAGATCTTCTGTTGAACAATACAGATTATTATTTTTAATTATTCCCAGTACAGCTACTATTTATTTTTCAGATTATAAGTGGGTTACGTTTTGTCATAGCACATACTGGAGGGAGACTGTAGAGTCATTTGCCTCCACCACCACTTTTTAAAAAGACGCGTTGTTTATCTGAACGGTGAGTATGATTATTGTTAGGCTTTATGCTATTGTGCTGCTAACCATAGTATGGATATTCCAGCCCCTTCGGTATTGAAGTATTTGTTATTGTTGTATTTTGAGTGTTTTTGCTTATTTGGTACTGGTGTACCTTGGGTATTTAATTATTTAGAATTAGTGTACCTTGAATATTGAAATATTTTGTACTAGTGTACATGGACTGTTGAAATATTTGGAACTAGTACACATCAGAAGAGTTACATCCCAAATTCTTCATATCCATTCGTAATAAATTTAAATATAATAACATATAATGAAAAGAAGTGCCATTAATCCTATAGCATTGATATTTGTAAGACCCACGCCCAACAATATATATCATGAAACAAAGAAAATGTCTTGCAAGTAGTCTGTAATATATTTTATAACAAAGCCCTTCATTTGATATTGGTGCATCGAGTATTATTTGGTTCTGGTGAGCCACATTGGATATTGAAGTATTAATTACAAGTGCACATTGGGTATTAGAAATATTGAACGTTGGTGCACATTTGGTACTGTTGCACATTGGGTATTGAAATATTTGCTTTAGGTAGATTTTGGGTGTTACATTATTTGGTATTGGCTTAAATATGTCTGTTTTTAGCTGTCTTGTGTTCGTAGTGAAAAGCATGCCAATATGTTTCATTGTAAATGTATTTAATATTTTCAATTCTATGTACCAACTGCTAATTGACATGCTTTTTTACTTTCTGTCTCTTTTTTTCTATCTCTCCACCTGTCTTGTCCGTAATTTTTATTCTCTTTCTTCTCTCCTTTTTTTCTGCTTCTTTCACCTTCAACTTGGACTGCACAATATGCTGATAGTTATTATTGTGAGAAATTACATTACAGTATGCTTTTCTGTGCTTTTCTTTGAGTACAAACTGAGCATTATTAGTCCAGTTTTATTGAATTTAGAGCAGCGCAAGATGATAAATGGTTAATGTAACTCACTGTATTCAAGGTTTCTGATAGTATTTTTTAACATGTCACTACTGGTTCTTTTTTGTCTGTTCCAACTCATCAGATTTCTGAAAAAAATAAATATTGTGACATATTGTGTTCTGAAAACTTTATGAAATATTGTTATTATATTTTTGCCATATCACCCAGCAGTTAGCCTCTTTATCCTCTGTTCTTCCAGGAGAGGTTTCATCATGATCTTTTGTCACTTCTCCTAATGCTACTGTAGTGAAAAGGCTTTCTGTCACTATATAGGGTGGATCTACTGGTTTAGCACTTTTTTTCTTCCACAGGCATCAAGGAAGTAGAGGCTAGTTATTGTAGCTTGTGAATGACACATTTGTGTGTCTGTGTGTGTAAAAAATACCGATATGACATTTGGTTTAAACAGTCTTTTTTTGTGGAGAGAAGGGAAGCAGTTGTTATTTTATTTCCTGTTAGCTCCTTGCACGCAGCTGGAACACACACTTATAAACAAATACACATAGTTTATACAGCATGTGTTTTCAAAAGCACACAGGTAATTTTAGAGGGTGTGTACATACCTGTCTGCTGTCATTGTTTGCCAGTCAAGTTTGAACTAAGCAAGTGCCTGCCAGCACAAACAATATCCAGCTTCCAGTGTTAGACTTCTGCTTTTTAAAGCGATAGCTTGCCAAATTTCAGAATTTTCACAAATTTCACACTTCCTCCCATAGCCCAAATGTAGCTGATCAGCCAAGACATGTTTGTTATCAGAAGTTTTCTTCGTTAGTTGTACACTGGAGCTACAAGACAAATGTTGCTAACAAGTAATGGAAGCTTATGTACACCTGTTAGCAGGGTGCTAACTGCATGCTTATTTTGTCATACACTCGCCTTCAACTCTTGTTGTTAAGTAATGTCAAATAGACTTGCTTATGTTGTTTCTGACACTATATGGCATACTTTTAACTCTAAACATAGACTAAAGTACAGACAAAAAAAATCAGGCATCAAGATGTCTGCAACTGTTGTTTTTAGCTATGTTAGGAATAGGGAGGAATACTGTTTGCATTCAAAACGTGCATAAAATGAATTGGAGGTGCTGTACATTACATGTTCTACAGCATAGCGTGCTGTCACCCCGACGTTAAGTTATGCTTGACACTATGCTAATGTTCCAACGGACAGTAACTGACAGGTGTACAGTTTTGCTGTCACGTGGATGACATCATACTGCAATACAGTGTCTAGTACCACAGCTATGTGGTGCTCGCATCAGGTACTCAAGTTCCGATGTTATATTTGCAGTGTAGTGATGTCTTTAACTTACTAAATCAAAGAAATCTATCACTTTCATTTTGTCTATCAGAAAAGTGTAAAACATTGACCTATTGTTTTTGTCAGATGTGTGGGAGCATGTCAGTACGTAGCACCCTTTTGATTTAGATGGTGATGCAACAAAACAGCACTGTAGTTCAGTTGTATTTTTAAAATTCCTGTTTGGTTGAGGCTAATGTAGCTATCAAGTAATTGGAATTTATACCTCACCAATTAGCATTATGCTAACTTTATGCCTTACTCGTCACACACTCATCCCAAACAGTGTCAATTTGATAAGTACTCTTAAATAGACTTGTTTAGTAAGTGTCATTCTACAACCAAAAGTGCAAGATATACCAAAATAGCAGTACAATAGAGTAACAGAATATTTGGTGAGCTTTATAACAGAAAAGATTAAGATACACATGAACTACAATGCTATTTTATTGTGTTACCACCTCAAAATTGTGCAGTGCTACTCCACAAATATTCTGCTGTTATGTTGTACTGGTTGCTACTGTGCTTAGTTTGTATTTGAGAGTATTTAACCCCTTGACTTAGCTATGCAGTTAGCACCATGCTAATGGGGTCTAAACTTCCATTACTTGTTAGCTTCATTACCCTCATAGCTTGAATGTGAAATTAAAGAAGCAAATTCGGATACCAGACATATCTTGGCTTCTTGGCTATGTTTGAAGGGGGAAAAATACTGTTTCAGTATTTCAAGTTCACCTCCTCCTTCCCTCTCTTTCTTCTTACTGCTGCTTTTTTGTGTTTTTGCCAAACCTGTTTTTTCTCTCTCGTATGTACACACCCATCACATACACACTGCTGTCTGTTGTTGTCAGACCTGTTCCTCATTTGCTTGTGTTCTCTCTCTGTTTGTGTTCTATATTTTAGACCTGAATCTGTGGAGGCCAGCCCTGTGGTAGTGGAGAAGTCCAGCTACCCTCATCAAATCTACAGCAGCTCACACCACTCACACAGCTACATCGGCCTGCCCTATGCCGTGAGTAAACACACACACACACACACACACACACACACACACACACACACACACACACACACATACATACACATACATACACATACACTCAGTTCAACTCAAAAAAAAAACTTTGAGTTACCGTGTTCACATGCATTTACAGTGTTGCCAAAGCAGTTGAATCAATTTATCATGCCCTAGAGATCGCACAATACCACTTTTTCTTTTCCAGTATTGATACTGATATTGATCATCTGCCAATACAGAGTCTATATTTCTTCTTTAAAAAATCATGTTTAAAGGTACAGTGTGTAAGACCCTCACTCGTCTCTTTCCAAGTGTGTAGTAGAACCTGCGGTGGCCGTCGGATTTCGGCTTCTTTGATGACGAGAATTATTTGCTTTTCTTTTGCTAAATAAAAAGTATTCTCACAATACAAATGGTTAGCCACCACCAGTAGCAACCACTGATTCTTCTTTCTGCATCTTCCAACCAGTGCCATAACACCACCAAATTCAAGCTGCTACTTCAATGTAGAAACATAGAAAAGGCACTCTCTAGAGCCAGTGTTTGGTTTGTCTGTTCTGGGCTACAGTAGAAACATCGCGGTGCAACATGGCAGCCTCTGTTGGAAGAGGATCCACTCTTTATGTAGATATGAAAGGCTCATTCTAAGCTAATGAAAACAAGGATTCATATTTACAGGTGATCATACACTAATGAACACATGGTTTTGTATACTGTATTCCATTTCCGCTAATAGATCCCCCAAAATGTTACACACTGCACCTTTAAAATGAGCTGTTTTTAGTTGAAGCATTTCACTTAAGGTGGAAACTAAAACTGACTCAACTCAAAAACTCTTCTAGCCCACAGGAAGATATACACAGTGTGAGTGCTGCTTCAAAATAGGTTTGTTATAGGATTGAATCAGATTCATTCTTTTCGAAAATCCAATTATCCATCCAGCGTTTTCTGCTGATATCAGGTTTACTCACATACACAAAAAAACACACTTGCACTTATGTATACAGTACACTTACGTTATGTAAACACATATGCATCTCTATGTCTCTTTTTTTTCTTCCTCTCTCTCTTGCCCTTATCTCTCCCTCTTCCTCTCTCCCTCTGTCTTCTTTTTGTTTATTTTTCTTTATTTCTTTCTTTCTTTCTTTCTCTTGCTTGCTTCCTCTCGGTGTCTCTCGCACTTGCAGTCTGTCTCACACATTGAACCTCTCTCTCCCCCACACACATATTTGGCCTCTGTTTTCACACACTTTCCATGTGAGTGATACACACACAAACACACACAGACACACATGCTTAAATCCCTGGAACATGTGTACTTTATTCAGATGGGGAAATATATAATTGTTTTTATTTTTATCAAAAATGTTTAAAAATCTTAATATTGTACGAACAGCATCTTGTCTACATATAAAACATTTTGCACATGCAATAATGAGGAAAACTAAACTCAGCTGCTTGTATTTTGTACTGTTAGCAATTTGAATTGCATGCTAGCTTTAAATAACTGTTAACTATGTCGGTCAATAACAAATTAAGTCCTGCTACTCTATATTGAAAGAATGTCTTACACACCTGACATGGGTTGTTTTGATTGGCCAGTGGAATTTTTACGTAGTTTTGTAAACATTAACCTGATTAAAAGCACATTTTTTTCTGCATATTAGAACATGCTGTTTTTGGCAGTTAACTGTTTAAGCAGCCAAAATTAAAATCAGTGTTGTTGACACACATGCTGCTTTCACGGTATGGATGATATATTGCCTAGCGCTATATGCAAATGTTTTCCTCCAAGAAGTGCATAAGTATTATGTTACAAAATCTACATCATCCCATTAGTTCTTTGAAAAATGTATCCATGAAACCATATTAGTAGATTCAGAATGCAACAAAACAAAAGTCAGTCCTTATGAACTGATAACTTCCTGTTGAATGAAGCACACATTTGTCTGTTTGGCCTCCCCTCTCTCTCTCACACACACACACACACATACACTCACTCTCTCACATGCTGTGGAGCATGAATGTTCCCACCTTTCTCTTTCACTCTCTCCACACACTCTCACACACCCTCTCCACATTGACCTACATTCCTGTCCCCTCTCTGTGTTAACTGTTAAACTTCCACTGCAGCAGTTAAGCACTCTGTAAACAAAGCATAGGCATGGTTATTCGAATATATATTGATTTATATTTGTTTACTTAATTGAATAAGGCACCTGTTGTTTGCAGTAATTTAAATAATAACTTATTGTCTTAATGCATTTAATTTATAATATGAACTGTAAACACATTTATTTTGTAGTACTGAATAATTTACCGTAGATACAGAATATTCCACAGTACATACTGAATAATTCATTGTAGTTATTGAACAAGTTGGTGAATAATTCATAGTTGATACCAAATAAGAAGTCTTAAGTTGAATAACTGAGCAGTAAGCCTGTAGCTTAAGGGGTCACAAAGCCCGTTCCTACTTTGAGTGCTTTTTGGATTAATTAGTTAATATTCTTAACGTTGAATGTTGCTATATGTTTGTGTTCTTGGCCATTATAAGCATCTTTGGATTATTAAAAATACAACACAGTGGGCACAAAAACAGTTGGCTTTTTTCTCCAAGCTATTGGTACTACTATGTTTTTAGTGGAAGAGATTGCCAATATTAAGAACATTTTTGAAGCAGTGTTATTTTTAAAATGCAAATACGTTGTTATTATTATTATTATTAGTAGTAGTAGTAGTAGTAGTAGTAGTACTGTTAACCAGTCTCCGGGTCTTTTCTGTGTAGGATCATAACTATGGGGCACGTCCCCCACCCACGCCGCCGGCGTCCCCTCCTCCCTCTATGCTGATCCGACCAGGTGAGGGTGTGTTTGTGTCTGGCGGGCGAGCAGGTGAAGGTGTGTATGTGCCGGTCGGTCAGGACGAAGCATCCAGAGGAACCACACTCAGCACCTCTGAGGACGGCAGCTATGGCGCAGACATCACGCGCTGTATCTGCGGCTTCACACACGACGATGGCTACATGATCTGCTGCGACAAGTGCAGGTAAGTCACACACAGACATACACTATGGCTGCAGCGATTAGTCAGCAGTGGTTATGGGGGAAAGGTTTAAGATGTTTATTAACTGGATGTAGGTTTTCACATTTTTGAGGGAGAGGAAGTTGACTTGTCTGCACCTCCTTCTGCTGTGCTGCGGCTGTTGTGATTGTTGACAAGCTCTGCTCAGAGTAGGGACTATGTCTCGTGATAAGAGTGCAGGCTTGTAGTGAAAGCTTGTGAAAGCAGAGCTGTTTTATGTCAAAAAAATCTCAGTGAAACTGCAACTTGTTTAACTAAATGGCAGTGATGGATTTAAATTACTGAGTACCAGCACATCTTTAGTATTGGCTATTGATGGCAAACCAGAGCGACTGTGATATTTGCTAGGTAATAGCCATAAGATGCACTTCAGAGCTTGTTCAGTTTATTTATGACATGAGTAAGTTTTTGGTTGTCTGTGGTACATTAACCTGCATTGCTGTGTAATTCTATTAATACATGTAAAAGGTCTTGATAACATTCTCTTTAATAACCATGTTGTGCTGTGTCAGTGTGTGGCAGCATATAGACTGTATGGGGATCGATCGGCAGCACATACCTGAGACGTACCTGTGTGAGCGCTGTCAGCCGCGCAGCCTGGACAGAGAACGCGCCATCCTACTGCAGACCAGGAAGAGAGAGAACATGTCTGGTGAGTCTGACACATATACACACACACACTATCAGAACATTGTTAATTTCAGAAGTGATTTCAGACTTTTGAATGGCACACAAACTCACACTGACACAAGGAATGGAGGCAGTGATAAAGTGTGTGAACCTTCAGCTTTCGTGTCACTGTGCTGCCCCCTACTGGACATGGAGGCATAACAACTGCAGATATTCTCAATGTCATGTTATTCCCAAAGGACACTGGATCACTATAAACCATTTACTTGGCAGCTTCTGGGTGTTTTGTTGATGTTTGTTTTTGTAACATGACTTCTGAATTTCTGAAGTGCGTGTGATTCTGTTGTACAACTGCAACACTTCAATCGTTGTATTTAGTTTTAAAGAGTTTGACAATGGTCTTTCAATTATTGAAGGCTATTTTCTGCTAAGAATCTAAGGTTTTAATTATTTCCATTATGCTTAATGTCTCTTTTTTATCACATATATTCATTTATATGCACAGCTGATGGCTTTTGTTGGCTTATTGTTTTGTCACATATTCTTGACTGTGTTCATCAGAGGGTTGTAGCAGATGTGCAGTGATGATCTTTTAAAGATTAAAACGCATGGTTTTGTGGCCGGTAGGGGCATGTCAGTTCGAGCCAAATTACGTAAAAGTCAAAGTCAGGTCGATGACTAAGTTTCAACTTTACAAAACCTAGCAACTGCACTTAATTTGTCAAAGAAGGATATAGAAATCATACTATGTAATTATACAGAAGGTAAAGCAGTTATAACAATAAAAAGCAACACAGTCTCCACTGCCTGCCAGTGTTAGAGCGTATTGGAGTAATAACTGCTGTATATTCTTCTATGTAGCATGAATTGTTTCCTCCACTGAAAAGCTATGTTTTTTACATAATGGACACCACATCTGTAAAAAAAGGGAAAAAACAATACCCGAAAAGGTCTGGCAGGGTCTGTGAGAAGCCTGTCCATGATTGATCAGAAGCTCGGCCCTGATTGTCCAAGAGCTATTTAGGCATGCAGTGCAAGTTACCATGGTGATGTAGCTGGTATAAAGTTATCCACTGTCATGAGATTGAACTAAGCTTCAAGTTAGCTGGGTAAGCAAGAAATCCTGTTTTGTGAGACAGCTCACACTATTTGACCATTTCATGCCATGATTATGCCTGATGAATGACCAGTAGTTTGGAAGCGGATGTCAAATTCTAAAGATTTCTTCCTTTTCCTGTTAAGGGAAAAAGAAACAGTTTTGGAAGTATGAAGTTTTCTTACAACAGTGATAAACATATGCTCTTTTATTTTTGTGTTCTAGACGGCGACACCAGCGCCACAGAGAGTGGTGACGAGGTTCCGCTGGAACTTTACACAGCGTTTCAGCATACACCCACCAGCATCACGCTCACCACCGGTCGCCTCGGCAACAAGCAAGCCGACAAGAAACGCAAGAAGAGTGGAGACAAGGAGCCTGCGGCTCCAGCCCGGGCTAAAAAGGTCCGCTCGCTGTCCGATCACTAACTTCAAAGTGATAGCTCTGCCACAAATCAGCTTTACACTACAGATGTACAGTGTAGTCAATCTAAAGTTTGCTTCTTTTTTTGCACTGAAGCAACAAGGCCAAATAGCAGGCCAGTTAGCTTGGTACTAACTCCATGATGATCACACTCTTGCCCTGAACTGTGTTGAGTTGTGAAGTATACTCTTAATAGACATGCTTATGTGGTTTCTGACACTGTATAACAGTTATCTATGAACATGGACAAACGTTAGATAAAAACTTCGTTCCATTTTGTCAGTTTCTTTGCATGTCATGGATATGGGGAAAATAGACAATGGAACAATAGAACTTTAATTTTCATGAATTTTAACCAATCTGAAGCAGTGGCATTGCGTTCACAAATACTTAATACGGTGTGAGATGCTTTTTATCCAGTGAAATGGTAGTGAAGTCTGCTCTTGCAATAATTTTTTTTTCTCATCTTTCAGGCATTCCGTGAAGGCTCTAGGAAGTCTAATAGAGTAAAAGTGAGTATCATATTTACGGCATGCAAATCAGACCCATGATGAAACTGTTATGGAGCCTGTTATTCTTAATATGTGATGGGTGGGGTAGTTGTGTTTTGTTTTTGTTTTTTTTTTTTTGCTGTTGTTTTTTTTGTAAAAAATGCGCTTTTGCAGAAACTTTCATTTTTTTTTAAACTGAAAAAGCAAAGCTCTTTCTTTTTCTTTGCTGAGGTTAAGGTCAGGGTTTGGTTTTTGAGACATACTATTATTACTTACAGGCACTTAAACATAATACAGTAAGATCCAAAGGTCACATTGACCACATTAAACATTTTTGATTGGATTTTAGTGTCTTTAAACAAAATGAACAAAGTTTTTGTTTTGTGCGTGCTGTCATTAAAGCAAGGGAACATAATAGGTATAGAGGCCTAGATTTGTAGTAAGGGTCACTTCTATGACTCCACATCTTGACAAGAGTATTAAAAACGTGTGTGTTGTCAGGGCTCTGCTCCGGAGTGTGAACCAATGGAGCCTCCTTCTCTGTGGGAAAATAAAGTGAAGTCGTGGATGGAGCGCTATGAGGAGGCCAGCAGTAATCAGTACAGCGAAGACGTCCGACTGCTGCTCAGAGTCAAAGAGGCTCGAGACGGAAAGACACTCGCTTACAACACACACACCGCGGCCTTCAAACCACCTGTAGAGGTATCCACATGCACACACACACACACACATGATGTTTTCCCTTAAAATAAAATTCCCAGGCTTAATGAAAGTGTGACTACAGTTGCCTTGGCTGGTACAGAGACACGCTAGCCTACATCAACTAAACATATAGAAAGACTACATTTGAGGAAGGCAGGAGTGAATTTCACAAAAAAAATATGTTCTCGCAAGACAATATTCACTGCTTAATTTCTTGTACTAAAATTAGAAGAGTGTAAAAAAAATGCGTCACAACACGTTTTTAACTGAAGGTTGCAATTCAGCTGCATGTTTAGAAAATGTTCAGAAATATTAAGCATGTGCTAAATTATTGGCCAATCATTTGGAATGTCATGTGATTACATTGAAAACAGTACAAACTGGTTTGGTCATTCGTAAGTTAAGAAGAAAGCAACTCTAGAACTGCTGCGGTGGAGTTTAAAAGCTTAAGGAGAATTCTAGATCATACCAAAATAAATCTTTTGTGGTAAAATTTGGCATTTTATGATGCATGAAATTGATTCCTGATTCCTGATAGTTGATTGTGTGGTCAGAGGAGATGTACCTAAGAAATACCCAGATACTATGAATATATATATATATATAATAGACTTATAAATAGTGGATACTACACCTATGCTTATTGACTTGTTCCTGCTCCTACAGAGTCATGTTCAGAAGAACAAGCGCATCCTGAAGGCGGTGCGGGACTTGGCTGCAGATTCACTCATTATAGAGTACAGAGGGAAGTTTATGCTCAGACAGCAGTTTGAGGCCAACGGCTACTTTTTTAAAAGGTGAGAGATTAACACTTCAGCATTGGTAAAACAGTTTGTGTTTGCATGCATCTTTAGCGCACATGACGTGTGATACCTTATAATTCTAGGCTTATTGACTACCTATACTTCTGGACTCTAGCAAATAAAGTAAACATGTACTTATGAAGTGTTTCATTTAAATATGCATTGAAAACAAGCCATGGCTTTTATATTTAGGCAAAAAGTGCTCTTTGCATTTATTATTTTCCATTTATCTTTGTCTTTACCTATGTTTAGCATTGGGTTTATGCTTATAGGTTTATTTCTGCAGTTATTCTTTGGAATTAGTTTATGGTTAGGGCTGCGCTATTTAAGTTCAGATCAGGTTACAGTTAGGATTAGGATTACAGAGATTTTGTAACCTTTAGGTCATTCTTCTGTCATTTCCTCAGTTTTCCTTTGAGTTGGGTGGGGCTAAATTTAGCACAGGTGACGTCAAATCTGTACCAATAGTACCAATCCGAGTTAGCAATAAGTATACGTCAGCTCCTCGCGTCCCCGACAAAACTCCCAACAAGTAGGCTACATAAGCTTTTCTAAATTTGTTAACAGTGCTTGTTATGAAGGTTTGTTACATCCTTGTTTGTAGCTCAGCTAGATGCTACTTTCTGCTTGCATTAGCCATCTGCGGCAGGATCCTGCAAAAAGTATTTAACTGTATTTATGAGAGTGCACTAGCTAGTGGTCTAATTTAACTCCAGGGATAAAATATGTCAGTCCAGAATTATGTTAGCTACCAAGGCTCACAGTGTCTCCAGCAACTGTAATGTGCAGGGTGGCACTCAATAAGGCACCCCCAAACCCCCCCAACTGGAGGTTCGGAATATGACCATATCGACTCATAACGGGACCTTGTGTGCCCTCTGTTTCGGAAGTACAGTCCAGCGATTAGCTTGCTTGCTATAGATTATGGATATAACGTTAGTGCTGAGCATTTAAATATCGACCACAAGTTGTCTGAGTTCTCAAACATTTTCGGCCGAATTTAATTAGATCTCTCAAACCACCATGAGACAGCTCATTCTCTGTTCTGCACTTTTTACTCACCATTCAGAGAGCAGCCAAGAAGAGTGAAGTGGTTTATTTTTCTGCGGCAGGGGCTCAAAGGTGTAGGGCTGAACCACACCAATTGGTGTATTGCTCAGCACTGCCACTGAAGCCACCTTGGCTCAGATCTTTTTTCTGCTGCGTATCTTTACTATAAAACCAAAAATTTAAACAGCTGAAACCATATTGATCGGGGCTTTAACCACTGGATGGTTAAACAGTACAAAATAAAACACTCATAAGGTTTTAAATGGCCAAAAACTGCCAAATACAATACTCAAAAGGCTTAAAAATTCACACCTACTGTAATTCAATGTCCTAGATTTTTATTTGGAATTCAGTGGGTGTTTATTCACAGAATATGCATTAATATATGCAAGCAGAAAGGTGAACTGATTTTCTCGCTCTCTGTCCATGCAGGCCGTACCCATTTGTGTTGTTTTACTCCAAGTTTGACGGCTTGGAGATGTGTGTAGATGCACGCAGCTTTGGAAATGAAGCACGTTTTATTCGCCGATCCTGCACACCAAATGCAGAGGTGAGTGTTGTGACTGCAGTTGCATGACGCAGCTGGTTGCAAGCAAATATGTAAATGTTGTTTTTGTCTCCTTCTCAGGTGCGGCATGTGATAGAGGATGGCATGTTGCACTTATATATCTACTCTCTGAGGTCCATCCCTAAAGGCAGTGAGATCACCATCGGCTTTGACTATGACTATGGCAGCTGGTGAGTACACATACAATAAAATGTTTTATTCTCCATTGTTATTGTTCACCATCAATATCAGTATTCTCCGCAAACACCATCATTCTTATGTATGTCACCTTTTGACTTTACCATTTTCAGGAAAATAATTTAATCAGCCAAATGAATGTACTAATGGAGCACATTTCATGGATATCTGTGAACAGAGTACACTAGCCTTTACTCATGCGACAGCTAGTAACACTTTTACAGACACAAGTAAATAACACATTTTCACACCGTCTCTGACCATATTTTTTTTCATGTCTGCTTAATTTTTAGTAAATATAAAGTGGACTGTGCATGTGTGAGGGGGAATCAGGACTGTCCCGTGCTGAAGCACAACCTGGAGCCCACGGAGAACCTCGGGTCAGGCACACGGCGGCGGGGCCGAAAGGATAAAGAGCCGATGGTACGGGATGATAGCGGGCAGAACCAAAACCTCACACTGGACTGCGATGGTCCAAAAGGGAAAACGAGCAACGACAGCAAACAGAGGAAACTGTCGCCCCTACGAGTGTCCATCTCGAACAACCAGGTACTGTGTGGATATGTATGCACAGGGGCGCGTACGCACGCGCACACACACACACACACACACAGAGTGTATTCAGTCATACACTGTATAGACACACACCATTTGCACTCACATACTTCCCAGATTATTTCGATATATATTAGGGGTGTAAGAAATGCAAGATGCATCATGTTGCAGTCTGAAGGTTGTGCGTCAGCTGCATTGAATTTGGAATGATACATTGCATTTACGTTTGACACTTGGCCAACACTCTTATCCAAAGCATTGCAATTTGATTTTTTTGAATTTTGATTTTACAGAGGTAAGCAAAAGTAGTCATGTTGGGAGTCTTGCCCAAGGACTGTTATTGGTATAGCATAGGGTGCCTTAAAACCATTGTTGAACTTGATGAACGAAAAATGTACCTACACAGTACCATTTTTTGTGACATTTTATATGTAGCCTATATGTAGTCTATTGTCTATGTTGGATATGTTGTATATTTAGCTTATTATCTGAATTCTACTACTATGTAAATAGTTCCTCCGGTTACTTTTGTGTGCAAAATGTATGTTTAGAAATTATTCTGAATCGTACCAAAATAATCTAATCAAATTGAATCATGACAAAAATGTGAGATTTCATTACTTGCACTCCGGATATATACACGCTACATACATTCATATACATCTTAATTTGCTTTCATGTTAGCCCCATCTTTTAATTAAGAAACTGATCTCACACATTTGTGCTCTTTGGATGTGAATCCATGTATTGTCACTTTACGTTTGTTTACTTCCACTGATTGCATGTGTGTTTTTTCATATGTTATTGGTCATTTTATCTGTCCTCCTCATCCCTCTTTCCTCACCTCTCTCGTTCCTCCACCTTGTATTTATCACTTGGTGCAAAGCACCTGTATTCCAGTACCTCAGGATCTTACAGCTGTTATTAATTCAGGAATTGTCTCAGCCTGCTGAGCGTTGCCTTCTGTTCAACAAGCAAATCCAGGACAAATGGTTTCATTTGGTCGTAATACCTACAGTAAATGAAATAGGATAAGCTATTTTAAAGTCCCAGGGAGCACAGTGTAGAAAATGAGTGTTACATTAAACATCCAGCAAAGTTTGAAAGAAAAGATCTACTTTCAGGGCGCAGTGGGAATATGCATCAGCTGGGACCGAACATCTTTGTTTTTTTTGTTTGTTTGTTTGTTTGTTTGTTTGTTTTTTAAATAACTGGTGAATACAGAAGGCAAACAGATAATGACTTTACTGCTAGGAAGCCTAAGTCCTACTGCAGCGGTATAACTGTAGTAACTGTCTTCACATCTTCAAATCATCATTGCAGTGAAGAGAATGAGTAACTCAAATCATTTTGTGCTGTATCAAGATGGAGTTGCTGTTTCCTTTACAATTTTGTTTGATGGCCAGTATAAGTGTTACATTAGTCCTAGCTTGGTTATATTATTAGCCTGTAGCACAGTGTCTAAGCTGACTGTCAGGATTGGTTGATGCCGCAGGAATTACCATTGGCTGTTTGATGTATTTGCGTAGTGCATGCTGGGTGTTGTAGGGAAAGAAGATTGATGAATGAAAACATGAAAGTCAAACCTTTCAGGCTTAGGGATAAAATGCTGTGCTATAGAACACTTTTTATACCAGAATGGCCGTCTAAGCCGAAAAGTTTCTCTAGCAACTTCATATGCATGACATGACTTCATGAGGCTGGGCTAAACAAGTGGCAGTAAAAACAAAAATATGCTAGCCAACTCACCAGCCACAGACAGTAAAAACAAAAAAGCGTGATAGAAAAATCAAATCCAGCCTCCGAAGTGACTGGGTATCAGGCTGCCTTACTTACGTATCACTTTCTCAATTTTGGATCTTCAGTACTGCTGTGTGAAGCTCTGCTCCTTCAGGTTGGTGGCATGAATTTGTGTGTCACATTGCAAGTTTTGCACAAGGAATTAATCATTTCAGAAGTCTGTGATGCAAAAACATCCCTTGAAATAAAAATAATTTCACTCCCAGACAAAAAGCTACACCTTTTTATTGTGACTGGGCCTTTACTGTCATTTCTTTGTGTTTACACACTTAATTTCTAGTAAACTTAATTTTTATGAAATCGAACCCCAGTCTTACAGAGCCAGCACCCGGTCCAAAGTGAGCCGAACTTTTCCCCCTCGTTCTCCCCATCGTCTGCCTCCTCTCTCTCCCTTTATCATTCCTCCTCTCCTGAGTCTGTAGCCAGACGATGAATAAGGCCGCCCCTTTCCCCCTCTTGCAGGATCCTGAGTTAATTGAGGATCTAGAAGAGAAAACCTCCGTTAGCAATGAAGTAGAGATGGAGTCAGAGGAGAACATTGCAGAAAGGAGGAAGAAGATGGTAAGTGTGTCTCTGGGGAAGACGGTCGCCGTGGTGGCGCTCACGGTTGCTGTGGAAACTCTGCTGCCCTCCCTTTCCGCGGCTTCCCCTTTTTGCCCTGTGTGTGTTTGTGTGGGGGTTGTTTTTTGGGGAGTTGAGCTCCACTGTATTTGTTGAGCTGCTTACTATTGCCCCCACCCACCCCCACCTCCTCTGCTGCCAACCGCTAGCGCTTTCTCTGCTGCTGCTGCGTAGCCTAACCTGTCCAGTCGTAGCTTGGGAATTAGGGATGGGCATTTAACCATGTTTGCCTGTTTGAACATCCCATGTTCTTAGATGTGAAGCACCTCATAAACCTGGTTTGTAACTCACTTGTTCACTCATATCTAGCAGAATGAAGATTCTCCATGTGTGGGCACTAAAGTAGTGCTTAAGTAGCTTTTGTTGCTTGAGGTGAGACACTACAGGTGAATAGGATCATTTTCTTTAAAACGATACATATCACAATTAATCTTTGCCTACTAATGTTACAAAATGCATACATTTGCATATTTTTAAAAACCAAAAAACTAGCATTTGGATGATGTTTGATTTTTTTATTTTTTTTTAATATGTGAAGACACAATCCAGAGAATGAATTTTACAGAACAGATTTTTGGAGTCTCATGGTTGTGTTATCAAGAAAACTTTATTCACTATTAGCAAACTTTTGTTTTGGTTTTCTTTTTTAGATAGTTAGGTTTATTTTAGTTAGATTTGACAGAACACACTGAAATAAATATATTTCTATTGAGTTTTTATGATTACATTTGAAGATATGTTATACATGTTGTCCAAAATTTTTTAAAAATGATTGACATGACTAAAACCACTGTTTCTGCCTGTAGCGTTTTACTTTAAGCAAACTTTAGACTAGAGATTTTTGCTGAACCTCAAGTAGCTGAAGTAGAGTACATTCTAGTGCTATTATAAGAGTGGTGCTTTACATCAGTGACAGTTTGTGATTTTGTTAAGCAAATAACATTTGAGTATCCCAACAAGAAAACCTTTATATTGTTATGAGTAAAAATCACTGAAGGTTTATTGTTCGGTTACTAGGTGCAACTTGCATGAGAGGTGATTCATTACCTGGTGGTTCAGTTGATTTAGAGATGTGTCTTTGTATTTTAGACATATGTAATGCCACATAATTTACACCATACAGATCTGTTTGTTTAAAATATCCAGATTCCAGCTTCATCTCCGCTTAGGTGTGTTTTTGGCTTGGCGTTAGATGCAGTATCTGCTACAAGTGTTGCCACATTCTCTACAGTTCTATTTCGCATTCGCAATCAAAATGTTTTTAAAAATTACAGTGATTCGTTTTACAAATAAATATATTTTACAAAGATTTATTTTATGATTGTTCAGTTATTTATATATTTCTTAACTATTTTTAATTTGAATACTTGTATTCAGTTGACCTTTTTATTCCGATTTATCCTATACTTGCATTATTCGAAGACCTGATTCTGAGATTAATTCTTCTGTTATCTGTGTATCTGTGAATATCCACGCCTATCCCTGCTTGGGATGCACATCTCTCGATTTCATCCTCTTTCCTTCTTATGCCTTCTTTTGCACTTTCAGACTGCCAGAAACATTTTGTTGTTTTATTTTATCATTACTGTCCTCTTCCTCGTTCATTCTGTACTGTATGTTACTGTAGCTAGACTATAGTCAGCGGTATAACACATGTAATGTTTAACACTGGTGCATGCCTAAGTCTGTGAATTATTTGTAAAAAAATCTGTATAAAACTGATGGGCACCATCATTTGAAATTTTTGTATCACTTGTAAATTTTTATTCACAATATTAATGCAAGATAGATTAAAATATTATAAAACCAGACATAAAAAACATTCACTTTCTAGATGTTTTATTCACCTTTTCAGGAAGTAATTAATTGATGATTAATAACCTGTCTGTCTATTTACACACATTTTTGTCAAGTTGTCTGCCATGAGTTTTCTTTCTTTCTTTTTAAATTACAGCTTCAGCTTAATCAGGCTAAGTACAGATAAAGTAGTTTCACAGAAAGCAGCGAACACATTTATAGCAGCTAGATGTGTAGACTCTGACCTCATAACAATTCAGTTTCATTATGGCTTTTTAGGGAGTGAATCTGTGCATCATGAAATCTGAAATTATTTTTGAAACGACAACCGATCGATCCCTCGGTTGGCACAGCATTAAAACCTTACATTTTTGGGCTTTCAGTCTTTCCGTTTATGTAAATAATAGATATTGTGTTCTCTGGGTCAGAGAAGAAAAGGACCAACCAATGGTTGGGCAGATGAAGACTTGTATAGTGGAAGAATGAAAAAAAAAAAATCCACTTTCAAATTGCATCAGTTAGTGTCTTCAGTCATCAAACGACTATTAATTGTTGTTAAAGTCACACACTGGCTGTCACTCAGCACCCCGCAGTCCCTCAGCTCTGAATCATGCCTAGAAACGAGTGTATATGGGTTTTCATAAATCTGAAAAAAAATAAATTATTAAAATTAGATAACGTGGATGCATCAGTTATTGAGGATTCTGTGTACACTTCCATACGAGTGCTTCACATCAGTCACAATGTATGCCCTTGGTTCTTCAAAGTTCTTGTACCAGCAAAGTGTTTTGCTTTACAGTGCCATCTTTCTTCATTCCTTCTCTCTGATTTCCTTTAGGCGCTACACAGCAAGCTAGCTTCATAACATTGTACCCAAACTCACTTATCCTTCTCTCTCTCTTCTCCTCTCTCTTTTCCTCTTTCTCTGTGTGTAGACCCGTGAGGAGAGGAAGATGGAGGCCATCCTGCAGGCCTTTGCGCGGATGGAGAAGAGAGAAAAGCGGAGAGAACAGGCTCTGGAAAGAATCGGCACTAAAGGAGAGGTGGGGACTCGCAGTGATATTAAGGAAGAACCTCCTGCTACACCTGAGGCTGAATCTCCTGCTACGGTATGACTGAGTTACACAAACACACACACTTTATCCTAGCTTGAGTTTGGGGCATCATTCTGTGCCAAAGATAATTATACTTTTGCCATATCATGTATAGAAAATGTTTGACAAAATTTACATACATAGCATTTGCAGGCTCTCTTATCCAGAGTGACTTGCAATTTAGTCATGTTACAGAGGTAGGTGAGTGTAGTGTTAGGAGTCATGCTCAAGGACTCTTACTGATATGGTGTATTGTGCTTGCTTAGTTGGGGAATCAAACCCCAGTATGCTGCATGAGGGGAGCCATGTTACCCAGTATTCTATACCAGCTGGTACCTCTGATTTGTACACAGTCCTGTAAACCTGGCCACAAAAATGCATTGGTCAGAAGGACAGAAATCCACAAAGTATTAATGATCATTAGCATTAGTTTTGGTCAAACCATTCCTTCAATGACCAATAAGAAGACTGACATTTGTCAGTCATTGCTGCCGTTACCTTTAACTGTTTATGGAGACAAGAGAAAGAGAGAAAGTGATTTAATCAAAAGATAAATGACAGAAAATAAACACAAGATACGTCATACTGGTTGGTTGCTACTTATTTCATATAATGCGACATTGTTTATTTTTAATTTTTTTATTTATTTTTTTAATATAATTTCTTTAATACTGAATGAGCATATAAAAAGATTGACATTTGTTTATTGTTGCTCCAGCCTCTGCTGGAGACGGTGAAGGAGGAGCCGGGTCAGAAGCCAGCGAAGGTTAACCGGAACAAGCAGAGGAAGAGCTTCTCCCGGAACCGCACACACATCGGCCAGCAGAGGCGCCGTACGCGCACAGCCAGTGCCTGCTCCGACCTGCCCCCCGGATCCCCTGGTGACGCTCTGGAACCTTTAGCTGGAGAAACGCAGGATGGAGAAACTCCTTCAGCGCCTGAGGCCGACGCCCCACCCACCAGCGCCCCCGACGCCAGCCCACCTCACAGTGGTTCACCCGCACCAACCTGCCGCAGTGGGCAGAAATACCCAAAAACTAAAAAGGTAAAACACATGAGCCCTGAACATTCCACCACTATGTGCACCATCATATTAACCCTTTTTATTTGTTTTTCACATTATTGTTATTTTGCTATTTAAATTAATTGCATAGTTGCTTAAGAAATTTACATTTGCATTCATTTTACATGCAAGTCTTCATATAAACTTAAAGCATGCTTTTATCGCCAGCAGTAAGTTCTCACGTGCCCCTCTCTCTCTTTCTGTAGCACTTAGTGAGTGAATGGATGGGTGTGGAGAAGCAGGAGCGAGTGAGCCGGACCCCAGAGCCGGTTCCTGAGCGTCCGCTGAGGATCAGCAGTGATCCGGAGGTTTTAGCCACTCAGCTGAACTCTTTGCCTGGCTTGTCTTGTAGTCCCCACGTTTACAGCACCCCCAAGCACTATGTCCGGTTCTCCTCGCCGTTCCTGGCGAACCGCAGCCCCAGCGCTCCCGGTGTGCCCACAGGCCGCCGACGCTCCAGAGAGCTCCCAGAAACACCCCCCACCTCTGGATCTTGCAAAAAGGTGAAGGAGGATAGTCAAAAATGTTATCTGTATATTCTTTCATATCATATCAGTAATATTTTCTGCCTCTGAGCTAGGGCTAGGTGATATGGCCAAACTTATCTCTGTGTATTTTTCCACATCATTTGATATTGATAATTACCAATGATTAGTAGATGCATTTCTTAACATTGTATTTGAGTTGTGTTATGGACTCAGAAAATAGAACATTTAAGTAAAAAAAGAATCAATAAAAATTGACATTTTGAAAACTGAGTCTTAATCAATGTTTACAGGCTGTAGTATTGTTTTGGTCTGTGTAGTCTATGCCTGTGGCTTTTTATTGGACCAGTTGGTCTGAAGACATTTTCTTCTGTACTTTTCTGTACAGCGCTGGTTAAAGCAGGCGTTAGAAGAAGAGGGCTCTATGAGTCCGGGAGGACGCACTGCTCTCTTATTGCCCAGCGATGGTCCGCTCAGCCCTCCCATTAATGGAGAGTCGGACAGCCCCCTCCCCTTCAACGGAAACTGCCCTCTACCAGGTGAATGTCCAGGAATGCATACCTGAACCTGAGCAGTTGTAGTGGTCCCTTACAGACCTGGAAGATATTTATCTGTAATTTCAAACAAAAAAAAAAGTTCAACAATTGAAACCTTTAAAATATTATAAAACTGTAAGCATATAATTAGTATGTAATAGCTAAATGTAATCATAAGAGAATAAAAATAATTTTTACTGTATTGCTATGTATTTATTAATGTATATATCCGTTCATTATTGGGTTTTTTTTAAGTGGTCATTTCATTTAAATTGCAAAACCTGTTCTGTTTTATTTCTTTGTTGCAGAGCTTCCCACACCGCTGAAAAAGAGACGTTTATGTCCGCTGGACGCGTGCATGTCCGAAACTTCCACCCCGTATGCGTCCCCATGTGCAACCCCAACGCGAGCGGAATCCATAGACACACCAGGAACGCCTCAGTTACTGAATACACCACCCCGCCCCCGCCCAGACGACGCCAGCACAGAACCTTCAACACCTACACACCCCAACTCAAATACGTTACACACTGCGCCACAGGAAGTAAGAATACACAACAAGCGCACACAGCTCTCTGTATCAGTCAAACAGAGCATTACCCATAGCTTATAGATATACACTACTGTTCACAAGTTTGGAATCACTTTTTTCAGTTATAAACACATACATGTGTAAAATGGACCCAGTATTATAACACTAAAGTACAATATAATAGGTTTGTAAAAGATTTGTAGGAGTCTGTAAAATATGTGATGTGTCCACTATTCTGAACAGAGTTGTAGCTTAAGCTGTATAACGTCCACAATGAAGTTATAGTGAAATTTATATCTAGAATGAAGTTTCAACTTCAAGAATGAGGTTTTAATAAATTTAAAAATAGTTATAAAGTTAAAATGATATTAAGGTCCAGAATGATGTTAAAGTAACATTAAAACCAGATCCAGTCTATTATAACATATTTCAAGAATAAGTGCACTAAAATGTTCATTGCAGGTACTCTAAAATGAGTGTCAACGATGAAGTAAGAGAAAATGTAATATACAGAATGATGTTTTAATAACATCAATACCAAGAGTGAAGTTATAATAAAATAAATATCCCAAATGAACTTATAGTGACAAAAATATCAAGAAATAGGGTACACTAAAACGCATATGTAGAATGAAGTTAAAATAAAACTAATATCCAGAATTAAGTTCTAATAAAATTATCCAGAAAATGACTAAATATCTAGAATGCCTTATTTTTCACATGGGCTCAAATCTTAAGGTCTCACAAGAAATTACTATAAATAGAGTTACATTGCAGTATTTATTATTAAGCAGTATATTACATATTATTAAGCAGTACAGTACATTTAATAAATTGTTTACAAAAATGTGGAATTTAAAAAAATCTAAAAAAATAAAAAAAAATCCCTATTCCCTTTCGTACCTACTTTATACTTAAATCTACATTGTGTAAATTATTATTGAATAAAACCACAAAAGTGGTTACTGGCATGTGATTCCAAACTTTTGAACAGTAGTGTGGCGACGCTTGAAGTAGCCTCTTTGTGTTAGAGTGGGTCAGAGGTGATGTCCATGTTCTCATATGTACAGAGATTCATGCTATACATAATTACTATGTGCATCCACAGAGCGAGTCATCTATAGACAGCTCTCCGGAGGCTAGCCGAAGACCCAGTACACAAGAGGTCAGCTTACTTAGACTTGCTGAATTCTGCAGTCATGTACATTACTAGGGATGGGACGTAGTGCTGGATGGTATTGATGATATTCAATAACACTATACAATATGAAATGCAAGTTAGCATTAATAAAGTTAATAAACTCCTGTTTCCCGAGTGCTGCTACTTTATACTGAACAAATGTCATAAACACATAATGTTGCCTGTTTTGATTGGACTTTTTTGTTGTTTTCTTGTCTTAAAATTTCCCCAAAAGTAACCTTCTAGCGTAGTAAACATTAACCGGAAAGAAAAGCCTAATATTTAATTTTTAAACTATTCTTGTATTATAAAACAATCTGAAGCACCCAGTAAATGGCACACACTCCAGTTGATGGTCACAATAGAACCACTTAGAGAACAGAGCCTTTTTTTAAATAGGCTAATCGTACGAGGTTAGTGAAACTGTTACAGTTTGAAAGTATCATTGTCTTCAGATTTTGTACCATGATTTATTATTAAAACCGGTAATTGTCCCATTCCTAGTATTAATCTTTTTATTCCTGCTTTATTGCAGCAGCTGATCTTTCTCCCATTTCTTTTATTTCAGGCTGAGCGTCCTCCCTCGTTGTTGGCCTCCCCCTGTGTGCGGCCGCAGGTTTCTGAAAACGTTCCCCAAGAAACAAGACAGGTTCCTGCTGGCTCTCAAAGCCCTGACCCTGCCCTCCCTGAAGCCCATGACACAGCAGCAGACGAGGGAATGGAAGCTGAAAGCAGTACAGAAACCCCTACCACCTCTGAGCCCCCGGCGTCATCATATCACCCGTGGATGAAAAGCCCAGAACGCGGTGGCCTCTCATTCTCTCCTATTAACTCCAACCTGAGGGACTTGACACCATCCCACACGTTAGAAATGGGAGCGTTCAGGCCCGAAGCTGCAACAACAGGGAGCTTCAGTGAGGGGGTGCCCTATTACCCCTGCACCGAAGAAGGGGGCGCCATGACATTTACACGATCGCTTAGTGGAGACGGCACAGAGGGTGGGGGAACTGCTCAGAACCCACCACAGAAGAAAAAGGTGAGATGCTGCTCATTAGGAGGATTCTCGATTAGTGGTAAATTGAAGTAGTAAAACAAAATGTTCAACTTCAAAGGAAAAGATTTTTGACCATTTTTACATGAGTTTTCTGTTGGAAACATACTGCCAATAAAATCACAAATCAAACCTTATTGTGACTTTAATCATGAAAAGACTGAACTTTTTAAATCCGTGCAACCCATGTAGTGCAGCTTTTAATGACGTATAGTAGCAGTACAGTATCGCTGAAGCACATTTTATTCTCAGACATACAAATACTGATGCCACTCTGTCTAGTAAAGTGGCTGGTGGAATCCCAGACACCCCTCCCTTCTAGCTCCACCTTGCTGTTGTACAGTTAACTGTGCATCAAAAGATCACACTGTAGCTCATCTGTTGAAGCACGATTTGGATTGGCCATTCTGTAGCCCAGTGGTCCTGGAGATCTACCTTCCTGCAGACTTTACCTCCAGTCCTAATCGACCCCACCTGATAACTCTCACTGTCTTCAGAATGATTAGTTGAATAAGATATGTTAGATTTGATATGGAGGTGAACTGGGCAGGAAGGTAGATCTCCCAGAAAAGGCTTGGTGACCACTGCTGGTAGTCCATCAGTGTTTGTTTTCAGTTGTTCTTGGCTGGATATTTTTGGGTATTGGACATCCCAGCAGCACCCCTGTGTCTGATACACTCATACCAGCAGCACACACACTACTATGACCACTACCATGTGAGTGTCAATGATGGGCTGAGAATGATCCACCAACCAAGTACTATCTGGACAGCAGTAGTCCTGATGAATGGAATAGGGCCGCAACAGAGCAACAGGGCTACAGTCTGTAATTGCACACCTGTATAGTGGATGTATAAGGTAGGTGGAGCAGTCAGTGGCCAGTGAATGGGAGTATAAGGTAGGGGTTTCTGAAAGTGGATAGTGGGTGTAAACTAATTTGCTGTATTCCAGGTGTCTCTGCTGGAGTATAGAAAGCGACAGCGTGAAGCCAGACGCAGTGGTGGCTCTAAGGCGGAGTGCGGTTCTCCTGTTTCCACGGTGCCCCCGGTGGACGTTTTCCCCATTGCTGTAGAAACAGCCCCTGAGTCTGCAGCTCCTCTGGCCCCCAGGACTCCTCAGCCCAGTGAAGACCCAGATGGCCCCCCACAGGGGGAGAGAGAAGGAGGAGAGGGACAGTGGTACGATGCTCCACTTAAATTGTTGTTAGAAATGTGTTTATTGTGTAAGTCTCTCACTACAGCCCTAATATATTTCTGTCTTGGTTTTGTTCTCAGGACGTCATCAACTTCAGTTGAGCAGGCCAGAGAGCGCGGTTACCACAGGGCATTACTGCTGAGTGACCATCGCAAAGACACAGGTTAGAGAGACAATATATTTGCTGTATGTTTTTATTTTATGTTTCACATAGATTTTCCTGTCCTGTTTGCCAAAACAAAAATGTTTTGTTATTCTAACATGTTTTGGGTTTTCCCCCCAGATGGAGGAGAGACAGAAGCTGTTGATGCTCCTGTAAGGGAATGTCCTTCACCCAAAAGCTGCAAGAGCCCCTCGACACACACAGTAAGAGTTACACACCCACACATAAAAATAGTTGCAGTCAACATGGGCAAATGAATGTCAATCTAATTATCTCTAATAGAATGATAGCAAATAATAATCTGTAAAATATTTATTATATTAGTATTTGAGTATTCTGCAGTTTATGCCGATAAATCAAGTAGTCACAAATTGAAGAAAAAAAAAACAGGACAAATACAAATCGATTTAACAATCACAAACCATGTATAGCTGTTTAAAGGTTCTATAGCATTAAAAACAAAGAAATTCAAAAATGGGGAGCCTTGAAAATTACTTTTATGTCATGTAAAGTCATTTTTAAAGTGAGGTTTTGATACAAAAACACTAAGGCAAAAAAAGCATGAAAATGTGTGTCCTTCAGGCTGTGTTTTATACTGTAAGACAGAGCAGTAGAAGAATATAAAATATGCATTATCATGCAGACTGTCAGTATCCATGCAGATGGTGGGGTAATAAATGTACCTAATTAAATGGAGTAGTCGATTTTAATTGATTGATCGTACCTGCCCTAAAAGGAAGTGCAGTTCATTCTCATTCACATGAAACTAATTTTGTTTCTTTCTTCTCTCCTCAGTTCTGCTCTCCAGGCCCTGGCGCAGTGCCCCAGTCATCGTTTCGCTCATCTAAAGAGGAAGAATGCGACCCTCAGTCTCGTCCTCCGGCCCAGCCCCAGCCTCCGTCCGTCCAGCAGCCCGCCTCCAAGCCACCTCTGTCGAAACCAGCCCCTTTGACCCCCAGCAAGCTCCACTGCAGCACTTCTGCGGCTCCCCAGGGCCACTACCCCACTCCTTCGCTCCTTCCTTCTCCAAAACCTCAGCCCCAGGGTTCCCCCTACCGTGGCCAGAGGGCATTTCTTTCTCCACAGCCTCAAAGCCAGCCCCCACAGCCCCAGGCATCATCTGGATCTGCAGCTTTTCCACAATACAACCCTCAAAATGCCCCTCCTCCTCCTCCTCCACCACCTCCAGCACCTCCAACCTCAGCCACCTACTTCCAACCACAGCCTTCCCCAACTACAGCACCTTTTGCCGGGCTTAAAACGGCTGTGTCAACCCCGTTTCCTGGATCTCAGCCGTTATTGCAGCCTCACCATACGCTTCACTTCCAGAGCAACGCAGCTCCGCCACCTCCACCGCCTCCCCCTCCACCCCACCCTCAACCTGGCCCCGCCCTCTTGCACGTCAATCTCCAGGCTCCTCCAATCCAGCAACATCAGCTTCTCCTGAGCTCGGCCCCTCCACCACCCCCTCCGCCGCCCCCTCAGGGTCAGAGTACTCAGCCTTCGTTAACACAGCAGACAAATGGCAGCACCCTTCTGTCAGTCAAGCAAGCCCCGCCCCCTCCACCGCTCCCACCTCCACCGCCAGCACCCTCTAGTGGTGCACCACACCCTTTTCAAAATATGGCTGGCTTCCAGCCCACTCTAATCCACCAGTCAGCAGCCAGCAACCCCTCAGTACCACCCTCAACGTATCAACAGACTGTGTTACCGCCCCCTCCTCCACCTCCCCCTCAACAAACCCCGCCTCCTCAGTCCCCATCCAATCCTAACGCTCCGCAGATCACCAGCGGCAACCGAGGACCGCCCCCTCCTTCTTCAGCCGCCTTCCATAACACAGGCTACATGGGAACGGGGTGGCACTGACCACGCCCACTTTACCTGCCCCAGAAAGACTCATCTGGAGAGAGGGGCAGTGGACACATGGTGTAAACATAGGAAACTCGACCTTGTAAATATTTTCTATTTTACACACGGCCGAATGAAAAACAGGAACGTGGCAGAAGAACAGAAGGGTACCCTTTCAAAAAAAAAAAGAAAAGTAAAAAAAAACATTGAATAAGAACAGGACTGTAAAACAATCTGGAAAGACTATGTAAAACAAGAAGGTGGATGATTAGTGGTGCTTCATCACTTACTCACAAACCCCCTCTCACTTGCTGTTTCTCGTCCAGACTTCTGTTATTTGTCTGTTATTTTTCCCCTTTTTTCACCTGTTGTTTTCTCTCTTTCTACCTTTCTGTGGATCTCTGTTTTCCTCATCCCTGTTTCTTAACCCTTTTTCTTTTCTTTTTTTTCTTTTTTTTTTATGATGAACATTCCATTCTCCCCACCATGTATTTGTTCTATTAGTGGTTCATTTATAGCAAAAAGAAATGCTTTTTTGTATAGAGAAAACAAAATACAGAATTATTATTTTTTTTAATCCTTCATGTAACAAGACAAAAAAAAAAGAAAAAACAAAATATCTGTGCACGGCTGCAGAAAAATTCAGAAGAGACCTTTCTGATAGGCCGCTTCACAGCTCCAGGAGTGTGCACTTCTCTGTGTGTGAGTATGACTGAGTGTGAATTAGGAGGGAAAGGCGGAAAGAAAAGGGTTTGTATGCGCGTTTGTCTATATTAACGTGTTTTGTCGTGTGTGTGTGTGTGTGTGAGAGAAGGTGAGTAAGGTAACCCAGGCTTTGTCAGCCTGATTGAAAGTTTGTTCCTGTTGGCCGTAAGCGGTTTATTTTTGAATATCAATGGTTATTTGTAGAAAGTGTAATTTAATGTATAGGTGGTTTACTCCAGCTTTCTCCAGAAACAGGTGTAAATATCGGCTTCTTTTCTTTTCTATGCTTGTACAATTTGCTCCCATCCCATTTTGGAATATGGTTGTAAATATGAGCGGCTCTTGGCAAAAAAGGAAAACAAACAAACAAGAAAAAAAGCTGAATGTTTCTGTGACCGTAGCACTATTTTTATTTCCTTCTCTCTGGATTTATTCGATTTGTCTCTCTCTTTTATTTTTTATTATTCGTGTGTGTGAGTGTATGTGTGTGTGAAGAGCAGAAGCTCACAGACACAACACTGGTTGGATATTTTCATGGTTCATTATAATAAATCACTGTAATGACAGTTTTATACCACCTCGGCTGTCCTGTGTCTTCCTGTGGATCTGAAGTTAGAAAGGTTCCTAAACAATTTTTAATTTATTTATTTATTTTTAAATAGTATTTCAAAGGTTTCAAAGGCGGGGGGGTATACTGGAATATAAAAGTGTATACTGGTTAGTGGCACATCAGTAGTGTTACCAGGGTGGCAGAGTGGTGACAGGAAGCTTTGGCAGGGTGGCATGTTCATGCGGTGTCCAGGTCTATTAAGTACAAGTTTATATAGTGAAATATCCATACAACCCTCTGACCACTGAGCACACGAAACAAAAGCAGCCACCCTGTATAGTTTATCTGTTCTGATCAACTGTCTTTGGAAAATAACAGCTTTGTACTTAGTTTCAACTGTACCAAATTTATCAATGAATCCTATTTCCATGTGTGCCTGTCAGAAAACATTACATAAGCTACAATTATGTTTTACATTCTATATGACAGCCAAAAGAATTCGATACACTATCTCAGTAGTTCTGTGTAGGTAGAAATAACTTTTCGGGTAGGACTGTGAAAAAGAGACAACCTTGGGGGGTGTAGGGGTAGTTAATTTTCCGAACATATTATGTTCATATACGCCTAATGTTATGTCATTATACCTAATCCAGCGCTTATGTCAACAATACCCAGACTATCCACATCAGCAAGAATGCTTTATTTATATAAATTCAACCAACACTGCAACACCATTAACTATGAAGCATGTTTCCGCTCACCACAGCCACCACTTATGATTAATGAAGATAACTTGACTAAGATCAAATTTTGATATTACCTTATCAGAAAATGTTAGCAGCATTAAAACTATGGTTAGGAAGTTTTGAAAGCGTAGATAAGGTTATTAAGGGTAAGTAATATATTAAGCTAAGTCTGTGTAATACACTTTAAGTCAGGCAGAATTAACATTACAAACACACTATACTGTTACATATTACTGTACTATACTGATGACATGCGCATGTGCGGTAGGGATGTTTGATGTATAGGATGAATTTGACAGCACACTGCTAAAGAACTTGAAGCTTAAGCTTGACACCGACGGTTGCTTAGTGGGCTGAAAAATAAATCGTGAATATAAAACTGCACAGCATCAGTATTGTTTTTTTGATGACGCTACTATAGAAGATAAATATACAGGATTTACAAGATGAGCCTATGAAGACGAGCGCTATAGGAGAGTTCAGTAGAACACTGATAGGCACTGAGCTACAAAGAAACCTTGCTGACGTCAGCTTAGTTGATTAATGTTAAGCTATTTGAAGTGAGCTACCGTTAAGCCTCTGGTAGGGAACAAATGGCCGAGCTACCAATGTTAGTTATATTAATACGTTATTATTTACAGAGTATTACTGATAAATCGTTTCTGTTTATTTGCTAGAGAAAGGCATAAGCCATGTATCTAACGTCGAGGCTACTAGCACACTAGCCGACTCAATACCACAGCCACGAACGTGCCTTGACCAATTGGCATAAAGCTGCTTAAGAAAAGACGCCATGATTGGTGCGCTGACAGGAACCGCCCCTCGGCAGCTCTGATTGGCTGGAGTTTTGGCACCAACATTCAGACATTTTACAGCGAGCAGGTGTGATAGTTGAGCGCGCGCTGCGGAGCTGAGAGCAGAAATGATTTACGCGCACGTGCGAGTTCTGAGAAGAAATGCATTGTTGTGCAGATTTTCAAGTTTTGAATGAAACCAGAGTGTTTTGTTGAGCAGATCCGAAGGTGTTTAGTCCTCTCAGACCGGAACATTCCTCTCTCAAACACCAGGATCTTCTCTCAAACATTTTGGCACAAAACTAACTCCATACTAATGGGACCGAACGTTCTCCTCCGCTTTCAACGGCCCATCGTTGCTTGGCAACGACATTATACGCTCAAGGAATTTTTTTTTAGCAGAATACTTGTTTATGTCAATTATTATTAATAATAACTTAAATTATTAAAGTGTGTATTTTATCATTCTTTATGTTGGCTGTCGTTTTATAAAATCAATAAGCTGCTTGCAACCGTGGGATTCTGCGATTTTATCACGGGGAAGGGAGTTTTAGGCACTGCGCTTGGCGTCGTACCAAAGAACAGCCTTCCTGTGATAAAATCGCAGTAACGCACGGCCTCTTGTGGCTTATAGCTTTAATAACTGGAGTTCAAAAGTACTCAGAAGTGTAGCAGTGGTGTTAAAAATTGCCGGTTACTGTTTTAGTCTGGACTCATTCTGTACTGAAAGCACAGCCAGGTTAAGGGGAGCCTGGCCACTATTTCTACGTTATATCAGGAAACATGACTGCAAAACGCCACAGGGCTACTGAAGCTTCAGGAAACTGTCATAAACCACAAAACAAGTGTTGATTTTGGCGCAGTTGATGAATCTGCTTGACTGAATTAAAGGATCTGTAAACAGATCGATTGTTTATCTTTGACGTCCAACAGCAAAAAATCTGCACATTTTTTAAAAGGTGATAGAAAGATGTACTCTTTTTCATTTATATCCAGTATCACAGCGTTTGGATGTGTTTTACCTGGGCATGGGCTTGCCATGGGCTTTTTGATGGGCTGTATGTGGGCCACAATTGGGTTATAACCATAGGCCCTGGTTAGGCCACAGTCATGGGACCCAGTTGGGTTAAGATTGTGGGCACCCATATACAAATATGAAATATCAGTTCCTTAAAAAATAAATAAATAAATAAATATTTCTAATAAAATACTTCAAGTTCAGACGTGGTACTTAATTTTCTGATTCAGCTCCCTTAAATAGAAGACATTCTATAAATGTCTGCTTTTTTTACTTTGCTTCATTTTCAACTGAAGATAAAAAATCTGTTTCTATAACTGGTTCAGACTGTTAAAGATTGTCAATATGACTGATCCAGAATCAGATTTAACACCGCATATTGTTGCAGTCATCACCCCAACAAGCCTAGAACATTCTAGGTGGCGTTAGCCTTAAATAGCTAAAAGGCCTGTCTTCCACTGCTGAGGATTAATCAGCGCTTTTTATTAGTGAAATGGAATATTCAAATGACTGAGGATTAAGCCTGTAAGCCAGTGAATTCTAAAACAGCCAGTTAGCCATGTGGCCAAGTAAACTGTTTTCTGCTAGCTGTCGAACATTTTATTTTTGATAGTTTTTAACTATGCAAAACATTTTATTTTGTTGATTCAGGAGTTCTGATCCAAATTTGTAGAGAATAAGATGTGCAATATGCAGATCCAACAATATTCAGAGTTAAGCTTTAAGTTGAGGTATTTACTAAATAATTCTGTGAAACTTGCAACATACAAAGTATAATACGTTACCTGAATGTGTTTTATAAGCTTTAAATGTCTTTAGAAATTTTAAAACTAGAATTTCATAAGAAGCAGTAAACCCAGTGTGGATAAGTGACTGCAAACTACTATTAGCTAGGTGCTAACATAACAGTGAAACATAAGATCCGCTAGTGGAAATTAGCATTTTTGCTGCGTATACAGTGGTACTGTGTAAATTGGCATTAAAAAGTTCTTAAATTGTATGTTGCAGGTACCTTGCTTAAAGTAGTGCGGTGACTTACTGCGTTGCTCTTTAAAGTTGATTTTTTTCTCTCCCTTTTTCTCAAACTGAATGTAATTAATAAATTAATTTACAGTATGCACGTACACTGACTGAGCATGTTTCGTCATGTGTCATCAAGCTGTGAAAGAAAAGTGATGGCTGCTGTCAGTTACATAGTGTAAATGGGTTGACACCATTTAAAATATCACCAAAATTTGCATGTTGGCCTATGGTAACTGTATCTAATACATGTGATAATGCCCAGGTTTACTGCCCATATTGCCCATAAGGGCTACTTGTAGGGAAGCCCATCATCAGCCCATACTATGTTGACACAATAACGGGCCCATGTGGGGCTATTGGATGATAGCTCACACAGGACCCATTGGTTGCCCACATGGCCAAAAACACACAGGCCAATATGGAGCCAATGGATAAATCTTTCTGGACCCAACTGGGCTGTCTAATCTTAACCCATGTGGGGCCCATAAGGAAATGCTGGCTGGGAGGGATATGTTTAGTTGTACTTGTTATGTCTTGGCTGATCAAATATGTGTGGAGTGGGAAAACTGTATGAGTTCGACTTTTCACCAAACTAAAACTTTTTCTTTAAAATTGTCCAGCAAGGCTGTAGCCCACCAGAGGGCACTATAGAGTAGCATGTAGGTTGAATATGATTGAGTATGCTGGATCTAGATTTGCAAGACTTTGATGGATGAATGTTTCTTTTCTTCATTCTGTAGCACCTTTTCTTCCTCTTGGTTAAGAAAACTCATCTTTATTCAGACAAAACAGCCTTAAGCCATAATTGTCTATTGAGAGAAAATGTTTATTTCTTTAGATCTGAACAAAATTTCTTTATTGATCTCTACAGTTCATGTATTTTAGTAATTTTATAGAATATTTACATTGTTTTTTTCTTCATCTTTTATATACATGATCATCAGACAAGACAGACACTTGACATTTTGAAGGTTTTCCCTTACTTGACTTTTTCAAGGATTTGTTTAAATAATAACAGTGTTATTCTAAATGACTATTCTTCAGCTGAGAGAACACCTTCAGTCTAAACCCTATTGGAGCTGTATCAGTTTTACCATTGGAGGTTCTGTAATGATTCATCACAATATGATTCTAATATGAATCTGCAGTGTGTGTAGTTTTTACAGTCTGACAGTAGTAACTGTGGAGTGATTATAATCCAGTATGAATCTGCGCTGTGTCGTTTATGCAGTCTGACAGTGATAATTGCTGAGTGATTATAATCCAGTATGAATCTGCACTGTGTCGTTTATGCAGTCTGACAGTAATAATTCTGGAAGGATTTTAATCCAGTATGAATCTGCAGTGTGTGTAGTTCACACAGTCTGGTAGTAATAATTGTGGACTCATTTTAATCCAGCATGACTGCAGTGTGTGTAGTTTATACAGTCTGACATTAATCATTGT